GGCAGAAACTCAGTCTTCACCTTATCTGTCATGTTCCCTGCTCTGTACTCTCTCCATCTTCACCGACTGGGCGGATGGGCTTGTGTTTCCTGGAAGATGACGTTGGATTTTTAAACTTTAATTTTTGGTGCATCTGTTGTTGTTGTTGTTTGGGGCGGGGTCAGTCGTGAGGCTTGAACTCTGGGCTTGAGTGCTGTCCTTGTGCTCTTTAGCTCAAGGCTAGGATTCTGTCACTTGAGCCACAGCACCACTTCTGGTTTTCTGGTGGTTTATTGAGATAAGAGTTTCACTGACTTCCTGCCTGGGCTGGCTTTGAATTCTGATCCTCAGGTCTCAGCCCCTTGAGTAGCTAGGATTACAGGTGTGAGCCATCAGCACCTGGCTGTTTTTTCTTTTATAAGGAGCAGGGTCTTTAGTCTGCTGTAGCAAGGTCTTTAGTCTGCCCTGTGAACACTTTTAACCAAGAGCAAGCTTTTGGAAGCCTCAAGTGAACAATGTACTTTTAGATTCCAGTAGTGAGAATGGTATGAATGTGGGAAGTGAGGGGTTCATTGTGGTATTTCCGTATTTCATGCCATGTGTGAAGTTTATAATTCTGACTTCCTCAACTTCCCTCTCATCTCCAACACTCCATCCTTCCTCTTCTCCTTGTGTCTGTCCATCCACTGGCATCCTTATGGAACTGACTGCTTTACGTGTTCATCCTGCTGATTGGCGATTGTCTGCTCATGACTCAGCATTTCAGCCTGGATGTTTTATCGCCATCTCAAACTGAGCAGAGCCAAAACAAAACCCATGATTTTGACTCTTCTTTTCCCCCACCCCCCAACCCCCTGTTCCTAGCCTTGCTTACAGCCCTTGATGGCTTCCCATGGCTTGCGGAATGACTCACATGTCCCATCAACCTGAACAACGAGAAGGCCCTAGCTCCCTAAACTCTTGTCTAACCTTGCTCTAGCTCTTCTTTGGCGATTGGGAAGATTGTTTCCAGCACAGGGCCTTTGCACTTGCTTTTCTCTCTGCCTGGGAGGCTTTGCTGCAGGCTGGCTCCTTTCTGTTCTTCAGCTCCGTGCTCAGATAATTAGTGCTAGACCGACCTTCCTGCTGATGCCCGTGAAACGCTGACTCTCCACCGTAGAGTCCAGACACAGCTTTCTGTGTCCAGACACGGCTCTTGCCCCTCTGTGCCATCCAAATAGCAAAGGGCACTTTGGAGCCTCTGAATTGCAAAAAGTCCGCCCTCACATCGCATTTGAATTGCTTCATTTAACCTTCAGGTACTCGTACTTTTAACAGCTGGTCTCTTTGACTCCTTTGTCACTAGGATTGTATTCAAAACAAAACAAAACAAAACTCCCGTCTGGTTCACTGTTCTATTTTTGATACCCAGCACTGCCTCTGCACACAGGAGGTACTTCAATAAGTAGTAATTCACTCTACGAACAGATTTCTGGAAGCTCCAAGATGGAAGTGATGTCACAGGATCTAGATACAGTGTTTCTGGAGCCCTCGGTAGGAGCACATCTAGATCATTCATTGAGCACCTTCCTTGGGCTTCTGCTCGTCTGCCTAGGCCATGAGTCCCTGCTTGCCCTCACGCATCAAGTTCAAGTTCAGAGTTGGGGGGGAGGCGGGGAAGAGGGTATGGAGATAGAGAGCTTTCACCTTTGGCAGCCTCCATTCTTCATTCAATCAGTCGACTCAAGACCACACACTGACATCCTTGCCTTTCCTTATCCCCTCCTACTCCATCCCAGAGTGCCGGAGGCGCCCGTGGCCCTGGGAGTATCATCCCCTCTTCACCGTGCGCCGCACATCGGGATTTGGTAGTTCCGTGTGCTGAGCGCTGTCAGCTTTCCGGCAGCAGCAGAGCTCGGGAATGCACACCGGAGGGCTGGAGGCTCCCAGGGCCTTGCGCTGTCTGCTCCCCGGTTCTCCAGCCCTATGCCGTTAGCCCAACCTCTCCATTCAGCGGAATTCTCCTTTGCTCACTCAGTGTGGGCAAAAACTCAAAAATACCCCAAAGTAATTTTTTGAAAGCTCGATTTTAGTTTATCCCTCAAAGGCTTAAAATAACACCTGTCATATAAGATTTCCTGTGTGGCATTTTTTTGGTATGAGACCAACTACTACAGAGTGTGTGCACCATGTAAGTGTCTATCCAAGCACGCACACACACGCGCACGCGCGCGCACACACATGTGCTCTCTTCACTCTATGTAGATATTACATATTCTGCCATCAGATTTCCTGTATTTGTGTATTTCTATCTTTTGCATATTAGGACCCAGCAGAACTTTCATTTTGCCCCAGAGTGCCATCCAAACAGCAAAGGGCAATACTGAGCATCGGAATGGCTGCATTTCCGAAGGTTTCTTTAGCATTACATTTGAATTGCTTAATTTAATTTTTACTTGGAATCAGTTGCTAAGCAACCAGGAAGACCGGCAAGAATCAGCAAGGCTAATTCGGTTCTGTTACTAGTACGTTAGCATCTCTTATATTTACATAGACAGTTGGTTGTAAATATACTTCACCCAATGCAATGCGCTGTGTTGTCCAAGGAAAACAGTTGGTGTGGAAGTGATAGCAAGACATGGGTTGGCTGCACAAGTCTTAACTTCATGCTCACGCCTCCAGCAAGTGTGAAACTTCAGGCAAGTGTGAAGTTGCTTCAGGTTTGGAACTGGTGTTGTCCCATTTGTTTGTGAAGCGACTTGGTAAATAATATGCACAGGTGTAAAATGGAACTTCTTTGCATGATTTGTTACCCTCAGCAAAGTGGATCTAGCCTGATTTGCCCCCAAGCCAGGCTTAAATCAGTTATTTTTCCTTTTTTTTTGAAAGCCTAGTATTTAGCTATTGCTGTATGAAATATGTTACAGGTCATTTCTGTACCCCATGTTTTTTCTGATGATGAATATTGAATTTGTTAACCCATTTGATCTGTAAATTATCAGAAGTCAATGCTCGTCACAAATATTTGAATTCTTAAAAAAACTTACATGCGTTTGTACAAGGAAGTCCTCCTGGCACACCTAGGCGCCACCCCCGGTCCTGTGTCAAAAGCTAGACAAGTATGGTAGTGAGTTACTCAAGAGGTACCCAGGGAGCTACCGTGCGTTAGACTGCTAGAAAAACAGGTCTCTCCAGTGACACAGAAAATGACTGTGACCCGAGCCCTTGGTAAGAGGCAGGAGCAGGGCCTTATCTTTTAAACTGTGTCCCATGGGTCCTTTGTTCTTAAAGACCTAGCTGACATTTCTCGTGTGTAATGAACATTGCTTGGGATAGATGAATATCAGCGTTTCTATATTTACCTTGTTCATGGAGACATGAGCTGGTGAAGGAGATTGTACAAATGGGGAAAAGTACCTTTTGCTTGGGCAGTACAATTTGAGAGTACAGTAGGTTGTTGCAGTTCATTGATTGTGGCTAGAAGAAAGCCATTTGAGTTAGAGAAAGGTCTGAATGTTTTTTGTTTTTTTTTTGCACTTGATAGCAAATGAATTCTCCTTGATTCAAGATAGTCATTAGTTGGGACAATGAGTTGGTATGTATCCATGAAAGGCCCTTTATGAGAATCTGATTTAATAGATAAGAACAAATATAGTCCTTACTTATTTGCAGGGTACAGTTTCCCCTAATCTGAGCATTTGCTTCATATTTATTACTTGGACTTTACAAATACCATTTGAAAACTCTGTATGCCAGAATATAAGCCTTTCAGGGGTGAGTGTCCATGTTAAATAGTAGTTCCTTAAGGAATTTAAACTAGTGGGGGCGGGGCAGGATTGTTAATGCTGAGGATCAAACACAGGAGCTTGGATAGTCTACTACTGAGCTCCACTACTAAGTCCTCTAAACTTTTAGGACCAAAATATAGTCCTAAACTCGTGTGTGTGTGTGTGTGTGTGTGTGTGTGTGTGTGTGTGTGAAGTTATATACATGTGTTGCTTTATGCACTGTATCATATACATGATAAGAAAAGCAGGACAGTAGAGTTAATGAAAAGATGAAGGCAAATCATAATGTATTGTCCGGTTAATCACGATAGTCTCATGCTCATCTTAGAACAAGGTTCATCATTAAAGTCAGCTTTCCAATGGTTTTCGTTGGCCTTTAACTTCTAGGTGGCTTTTACTCAGAGCGACTGGTTTATTAGTTCGTTCCTTAAAGTGGCAGAGTGGAGAGGCGAGAGTGAAGGGTGGGATTTTGGTCTCTGCGTAGCCTGGGGTCACACTACTGCTGTCTTCCATGTTTTGGTTTCTTTGCAGAAAGCCTGGCGGCCGCTTGTTGCCTCTGTTGTATAGGACAAGTGGGCAAACTCATAACCTCCGAAGTGGAAGGGCATCAGATGGACTGGTGCTGGGGGTAGGGTGGATCCGGACTCCTGGGAGCTGAGACGCTGTATTTCTGCACTCACTTCACACGGGAGTCTGAGAGTCCACTGCCCTAGGCAGCATCTCCAAATAAGCTTAAGTGTAGGCAATTATTATTACTGTTTTTGTAAGGGCTGGGCTTGTGGCTCGCGTGTTGAGCACTTAACCTGGCAAGCACAAACCTCTGAGTTCAGTCCCCAGTTCTGGAACGAAACAGAGCTTGAGCGAGACTGAAGAGATGTGGGGATGTGCTAGGGAGCCATTGCAGGTGTACGTGGGCACAGTGAGGATTGTTTATCCTTCTGTTTACCACCGTGCCGTGACGGTGGTGAGAGCATGGGATTTGAACACTGAACTTTGGCTCTGCGCTATCGATCTCACAGTGGACAGTGGCTCTCTTCCTAAGAAGCCTCAGTTCCCTCATGGGTAACTTCACCAGGTGGTGGGATTAAACTTAAGAAAGCAAACTTGGTGAGAGGGCTCTTGTCATCACCCACATGTCGCTTCATCGCTAATACCTTATACGAATAAAGATGGAAAGCCTTTTCCAGCAGGTGGCTTTTTTCTTGTGTGTGTGCATACTTGGTAACAGTTTGTGTTTGTTTGTTTCCTGTCTAGACTGCCTCTTCAAGCTATGTCCCATGAATCGCTACTCTGCCCAGAAGCAGTTCTGGAAAGCTGCTAAGCCGGGGGCCAATAGCACAACAGATGCGGTGCTGCTCAACAAGCTGCATGTACGTAAGGAGATGGGGCTGCGGGGCCGTCACCTGGGGGTGTCGGGGCGTGGCCAGGACTCCAGCTTCCGGCTTTCCCCTGTTCTTTCGTAAATCAGGAGGGACAGAGAGCCCTGAGCAGAGGAGAGGTGGCACACGGAAGTCAGGGGATGTCTGGAAAACCCTCCTTCCTCCTCCATTCCCCTTCAGGGATGCTTTTGCAGACTAGTGGTTGTGAGCACCAGTTGTGGAAGAAATCTGCCTAGAACTGGGATCTGGCTCCTCTGCCCTTGGCCTGGTGGCCTTCGGCAAGTTCCCATGGCTGTTTTCCAACGTGGGGGTGATGGTGTTCGCCATCTCAGGAAGAAGCTGTGAGGATTATGTGAAATGAGACACGAGAACACTGCCTCGCACCAAATAATACGCAACTTCTGGCTATTCTTTAATGAATTTTGGCTATGATCATGTGTTTGTCCTATTATTTGGCATGTAAGAGATGTGCTCGTCCCATTGCAGTTGTGCTGTGCTCCAGGTAGAATAAATAGACCAGGTGTCTTCCATCAGCGAGCTCATAATCAGCCCTGTGAGGACTGACAGCCCTCGCTCCCACTGCCCCTAAAACAAACAGCAGCATTGTTGTTGTTTTGTGCAGGATCTCACACACCTGGGCTGGGCTTTTCCCCTAGAGCCTTTAGTATGAATGCCTTTAGTAGCATTCATTTGTTGGTTCATCCATCCATCCATCCATTTGTTCATGACAGTAATGAGGTTTGAAACCAAGACCTCGTTCGCCCTTACTTGGCTTGCTTACTCCCTTGGCTTGCTTACTTAAGCCATGGTTTCAGTTCTGGCTTTTTGCTGGTTCACTGAAGATGAGTCTGTCAGATATATCTGCCCCAAGTGGCTGTGCACTGTGATCCTCAGAGCTCAGCCTCTTGCATAGTTAGGATTGCAGGTATGAGCCGTCAGTGTACTGGCTGTTTATTTTTTTATCCCATTTCATGACCTTTACACCCTTTTTTTTTTTTTTTCGTGTCGGTCGTGGGGCTTGAACTCTGGGCTTGGTCCCTGTCTCTCAGCTCAAGGCTAGCACTCTACCACTTGAGCCACCGTGCCACTTCCGGCTTTTTCTTTTCATGTGGTGCTGAGAATCGAACCCAGGGCCTCATGCATGCGAAGCAAGCACTCTACCACTGAGCCACCTTCCCAGCCCCAGTTATTTTCTTTTTAAGCTCAGATCTTTGCGTCCTTCTCACCCAGTCTCAGTTTCCATGCCATCTCCACGGAGCCGCCTTCCCCACACCCGCAGGAGACGTCGGGCCTGTGTGTCTCCGTCGCAGCTCTGGGCTCTGCCCTTCCCAGCACTTAGCAACTTCTTCCTTCATTATCTGTCCCCCATCAGAGCGGTGGCCCTCTGTAAGGTCGGGAGCATCGTCTCTCTCTCTCTGAGCACCGTGTTGTTCCGGAAGAGTCTGACTCAAATCAGGCCCTTGAGAAACACTCGTTGAGCAGCCGTGAAGTGCTGTGGCTTAGTGCTGGTGACCAAACAGAGGAAGTTCCTGAAACCTCTGGAAACTTCATAGCAAATAAAGAACGAAGACACTGTGCAAGTACTGCATTCCAGGGGAAACCACCCGCATATGTCAGGGAGCGGGGTGTTTAGAATAGGTATTGGAATCGTTGCTGGATCCAGGGACGTGTGGATCAGGGTGGGCTTCCTGGAAGAAGACGGAAGCGCCCTGCACACCTCAGTCTGAGGGACCCGAAGGATCTGGGGGTAGAAGAAAAAGAAACAGCCGGGTGCCGGTGGTTCACACCTGGAACCCTAGCTGAGAGCTGAGGATCGCGGTTCAAAGCCAGCACTGGCAGGAAAGTCCATTTAACCACCAGAAAACTGGAAGAGGCGCTGTGGCTCAAGTAGTAGAGCGGTAGCCATTGAGCTGAGGAGCTCAGGGACAGTGCCCAGGCCCAGAGTTCAAGCTCCACAACCAGAAAACAAAAAAGAAAAAAAGAAAAGGAAACAATGAAAACAAAGACTTGGCAAAAGAAAAAACAAAATTTTTAAGACTTCAGGAATTACATCAAAGCCGGGCGCTGGTAGCTCACGCCTGTAATCCTAGCTACTCAGGAGGCTGAGATCTGAGGATCACGGTTCAAAGCTAGCCTGTTTCAAAGCCAGCCCAGGCAGGAAAATTTGTGAGACTCTTATCTCCAATAAACCGCTAGAAAACCGGAAGTGGTGCTTGGCTCAAGTGGTAGAGCGCTTGCCTTGAGCTGAAGAGCACAAGGACAGCACCCAAGCCCAGAGTTCAAGCCCCATGACCGACAAAACAAAAAACAAACAAAAAAACCCATCAAGCCCAGGTGTATTGTTGAATGCCTGAAATCCAAGCTAAGGAAGAAGGTTCAGAATTCAAGGCTGTTCTGTGTTATGTGGCAATAAACCAAAGACTGGGCATGGAGCTCAGTGGTAGAACTCTTGCCTAGCCATACAAGGGCCTGGGATTGATCCCCAGCTCCCTAAGAAAAACAAGCGAAAATAATTACGACTATTACGGTAATGATCTTAGACATGGTGAATTTAGACTTATTACCTCCTTGTCTTTAGCAAGTTATACAACTTTACCAAAGTACAATAAAATTGATAGGCATCCAAAAATTTTAGTGACTTATGAAAAAGAAATAAAAGGAAGATAATCTATGGCATAATAAATGATACTCTCAGTGCTCAGGGGCAGCTACTGGAGGAGACCCGCAGGAATCAGAGCTCACTCATGTGATGCAGGCACTTATTGGTGGTATAAAAAGAACGGTGTCTGCAATGTGATTTTCTGACTCTGGTAATGTTATCAACAGTGCATAGCACCCTCTTCCCTCCACTCAACAGTACTTTGTATTTTGGGAAAATGTATTAATGAGAGTAGCAATAGATCCCCAGGAAGCCGTGCTTTGTACTGGTGTGTAGAATGAAGTGAGGCACCAGGTACAGATAATCACAGGTCTCTACACACGGATCAGGCTGTATTCAGCCTCCAGGTTGTCTGGTTCTTGTCCACTGAATACCATGACCCCTCCACCTGCCTACCCTGAAGTCATTGTACCACTCAGAACCCCCCCACCCCCAGGTCTGTGCTGGGAATACCATCTTCTTGTTGGATGGGGGCAGGGGCAGTGCTCCATCTCCTCGCTGTAGGAGGGAGCTGCTCAGTGCATTGCCCGGGGGTTATCTTTGTGGAAGTTCTTCATGTTTCTAGCTGTCCTGCCTTCTCTTCTCTGGAATGAAGGTCGTTGTGTTTGGTGAGATCTTACTAGTACATCTCGAGCACTTTCTTCTCCTGTACTTTTCGCAGCGGAGGTTACAGAGTCACATTGCTCTTGGCCATGCTGGAAGCCAACAGGAATAAAGGGGGCTTGGTGGGCTTTGTCGCCACATGGGGCCTGCGCATGTGCAGGTCTTAGGGGCACGCGATGGGGCTGTTCCAACTCCCTGCGGTTACTGCGTAGGAAGGCCGGCCAAGAGCTGCATGCCTTCTGTTTTGACAAGAGAAGATCAGAATCCGTGCTTTTGTGTGTAATATCGTACTTCTTAGAACATGGTGACAGCTAATTCAGTTAAAGTCTCAAACACCAGCTCAGAATGGCTCAGACTTGGGCTGCCTGGGAGTTCTCAGTCCCCCTTGGTGGCCCGTGAGCTATACATTATGGTGCATTAAGGGTTCCTTTGCTGCTCCTTCCTGCAAACGAACTAAAGAAAACAGTAGGAAAAAATTCCAGCGCTAAAGGTGATCAAGAACTTCCATCGTTTAAAACGAGTTCTTTCTCCCGATTTAAGATTCCTGATGACCGCGGTCGTGAGTGTTGCTTTGTGCTTGGCTTTCTGTGGGCCCTGCTTTCCTGCTTACTTGGAGCTCTTCCCCTCTGTTGTCTCAAAGAAATCTGCATGTTGCAGTGCAATCATTAAAATGTTGTATTTTGGGCAGCCGCTTGCCTTTGGGGGCTGGTGGCTAGTTTCCAGTGGGTTCTCATTTTTATTTTTGTCAACTACTTGTGCAGCACCCCAGTCAGAGGTCAGATTATTTTAAATTAATGCCATTTAAGGAATTAGTTGTCTAGACCACTTGACTTCCTTTTGACTAGGATAAGCAAGCGCTAAGAGCTGTTTGAAGGAGAGCGACACCTAGTGGTTGCTTACAGTGTGTGCTTGTAACTTCTGTAGGGATTCTTGATGTGGCCACAATTTCCCGAAATCTTTTGTCAAGAAGAGCAGCTTTCCTTGCTCTCACATCACACAATTTGTCCTAAAGCCTTGGCCAGTTCCTAACAACTTACTTGTTACCTTGAAATAGGCACCTGCACGGTTTGGGTTCTGAGAAACGATCACTTTATTTAAGCCACAGCTCTGACAAGCTAGGGAGAAGCAGAGGAGTAGCAAGTCTTCCTGTCCCGCAAAGCTTGAGTTGTGCATTGCTTATTTTCTGAAGCCTTAATTTAATATCATATTACGTAATTCTGAGCTTGTTGACCTTAAGCAAATAGCCTTTCCTCCCTGTTCCAGTGACCTTTCTTTCATAATTTAATAATGGTTTCTCTATTTCTGAAACAGAATAACAGGTGCCTGTAATGGGTTGACCTTGTGGTTGTTTAGGGAACATGGTGCTGTCAGTGGTGAATAACACTGGCAGAAATCATAGCATACAGTGTTTTCTCCCTCAGAAATTAAAAACAGTCCTCAATCCACTGGGTCAGGGGAGGAACTAACAGGTATTTTATTTATCAGAATTTCAAAGAAAGAAAATGTAGCAGATTTAAGATGGATTTTAAGAACAGCCAGGCCACTTCCCATAGAGACACAATGAGGATATGTTTGAAGAACTTACACAAGAGTAATGTTGGAAAAGAATTCCCAAGTAGAAATGAACAGGAAGCTATCATGGGTGCATGCTGTTTTCTCTGGCTTGAGTGTGTTTTCCTCTCCCCCACTATGTTTTGAATAACTAGAAGGCCCTGCCCTCATTTTTAATGGCTATATGGTTATTCCATTGTTTGTCAGTATTATTCTTTGGGATAATTAGTCCCTTAGCGGAGGAAAAGTGGGAGGAGGATATTCAGCATCCTGACCATTTTTGCCACTTTGAAAAACAAAAGTTACGAAGGTCTTGTGCACTTGCCTGCTTATCTAAGCAAGAGAAACTCCTAGAAATAAAATTACTTAGTCAAAGTTATGCCTGTTAAAATCCTTGGTGATCTACACTGCCAGATTATTCTTTGGAAATGTTAGGCTTGTTCCCTGTGTTACAGTACTGGCCTGTTCTTGGAACATACTTGAAGGACTTAACAAACAATGATCACATTCTTTTCAAAGGTGGAAACAGCCTTGATCTGTGGGCCCAGAGGGAGCCTGGACCTTACAGATCTCTCAGCTACCTGTTTTGCCTTGCCAGTGGAACGTAAAAATCACAATGGATGTTTCTGCTTGAGTTTGATTTTGTGAGGGCAGTTACCTGCACATTGAGTCATGGGTGACCCAAATGAGTGCACTTGAAATTTGTGCATGTAGAAGAAGGTGCATTGGAGACTTTTCTCCTTAGCCAAAGAGGAAAGTAAATTTAGACCAGTCCATAGGGTTCAAGCTTTTAATATTTATTCGGTAATGAGTTGTAGGACTCTTTATCAGCATTAAACTTGTTAATAGAATTAAAGGACTCAACTCTTGCTTGGTTTAATGGGGAGTTTTAAATGGATTTTATTTGTGAAAGAATATGCATATGTATATATAGAATGTATTGAAGTATAAATGTGTGTATCTCTCTCTTCACTCTCTCTCTCTGCACACACACACACACACACACACACACACACACACACACACACACACACACACACACACACACACACACACACACACACACACACACACACACACACACACACACACACACACACACACACACACACACACACACACACACACACACACACACCCCCCCTGGGCAAAATGGGTATGGACGCTGTCCCTGAGCTTTCTTGCTCAAAGCTAGCTCTCTGCCACTTGAGTCACAGCTCCACTTCTGGCTTTTTTTTAGTGCTTCATTGGAGATAAGAGCCTCATAAACTTTCCTGCCTAGGCTGGCTTTGAACCATGATCCTTCAGACTTCAGCCTCCTGAGTCATTAAGATTACAAGCTGAGCTGCCGTCTTGCCAGGAGTGATAGAATATTTTAAAGAGAATTTCTTACATCCTGTTCTCTATTTTTTTCTGTTAATTTAACTTCTCATACGTTTTTTAGGCAAATGCCTTTGCTCTTTAGAGCTGCTGGTATTTAATTATTCTTTAATATGGAATGGATTGGCCTTTAATGACTAATTTGACATTTCTTTTTTAGAGATATAAGTGGCTTCTGGGTTGAGGTTTTATAGCGTTAAGTGCTAAGTGTAGGTAGGAACTCAGTGTTTTAGATTGGTATGTCTTCAGTGGAGCCATTGGAAATCTGAGAATTTTCTGTTTCAAAGAAGGGTTCTTAAATCATTGGAGTTGAAGCAGTAGTACTTAAGAATTCTCTACAGGTGCACCCTACCAGTGTAATGTTTGAAGTACAGAAAAACTATATTCGCCTTTTGGAAAACGGTACAATTTATTTTTCTGAATCCACTGATTTTTCTCCATCTGACGTATTTTCCCTCCTGAGTTCCCATTTAGCATTAGCTGAAAACTGCTTAGCAGAAAGAACAAATCACTCTGTACCTCGTATAAACTTTCCTTCCAAGCGGATCCAATCCAGTGTTTTGTTTGGAAAGTTCTGTACAACCTGTGGGCACTGAGAACACATCTGGAGGGGGTGAAGCACAGGGGTGAGAACTGGGGGAAATGAGAGATGGGGAGTAGTTAAGGAGTGGGTTTTGTGGAGAGAAGAGTGAAGAGTTGTATGGAGCTGCCAAAGGCTGCCACGTTGTCTGCACTGGAATTATTATTGGAGCCCTGTGGCTTGCATTCTTGTGTAACTGAGAACAGAGGAGGGGTAGCTAATTCCAAAAGAGAGGGAAGCGCGAGGGAGGCCTGTAACTAAGCCACCGCTTTGGGTAGCTGATGTGCATGCGTGCTTGCCTTGCTGGGATCCACACTAGCATAGGCCGCTCTTTCCCCTTCTGATAATAAAATGTGATTTGGGGTTAGGAGTGGTCCCTCTAGTTTCCTCCTAAAATGTGCCTCTCTAAACTTACCTACCCTTGAGGTAGAGCTGGAGCAGAAACAAACTGACTGTTGATCCAGACAATTTAGGACCCCTTTTAAAAGCTTTATCACCAGAACATCACTAGAAACTTGTTTATAATGATAATGGTTAATTTATGTTTCAACTTGAAGGCCCTTAGAGTGTATAGCTCAGTGGTAAGGCCCAATCAGTATGAGGCCCTGGGTTTGATCTCCAGTATTGAAAAAAAAATCAAACAAGCAAGTAAATACAAATCTGCCACTGCTGTATCTGACATGCATTTCTGTGGCAACGTGCATTTCTGTTACAACAGCTCCGAAAGGCGTGTCTTGCCCTCGCTTTGCAGTGAGAACACAGCGGGAAGCTTGGTGAGTTAAGGCACCTGGGCCAGATTATGAAGTTTCCATAGAAGGTCTCCAAGGCTAAGCTGAGGAGGGCCCCAGGAAAATGAAGACATGTTACCTGGGAAAGGGCAGCCAGCAACTCCTGGGAACCAAGGAAGAGAACATGAGAAGTACCTGTGAAAGAACACCCATCAGTCATCAGGGTTTTAGTTTCCATCATATTCCATACTGAATGCTGTCTGGCCTCTTACTTTTATCTCTGGTGACAGGTTAGCTCATCAGTCTGCTGATTCATTCCCCTTTAGCATTGTTGTGACATGACAGCAGTTTGTTCACAGTTGATGAGAGTCAGGCAACTGTTCAAGACAGTGCTCCTGGCTGGATGCTGGTGGTTCACGCCTGTCATCCTAGCTACTCAGGAGGCTGATGATCATGGTTCAAAGCCAGCCTGGGCAGGAAAGTCTGTAAGATTGTTATCTCCAATAAACTACTCAGAAAGGCTGAAAGTGGTGCTGTGGCTCAAAGTAGTAGAGTGCGGGCCTTGAGCAAAATTTCCCAGGGACAGCTCCCTGAGGACTGCCCCCTTCTCCCCCCCCCCCCCCCCAAAAAAAAAAAAAAAAAGAGAAGATGGTGGCCCTGGCAACCTATTCTAGAACTCTGTATTTGGCTTTACCATGTTTTCTAGCATCAGAAACTTGGTCTAGTAGCGTCTCTTAGCCTTATTTCTAATTCTACACGCATTATCAAGTAATTTCCAATGTGCACAGAAGTAGAGAAAACATAACAAACTCTATTTGTACTCATCATCTACCTAGTCACATGGTGTTGACCAAACTTCATAGTCTCATCGTCTCCTCTGAAACACAGAGATAATCATCTTCCCTTCAGGGAATTAGTATGAAAATTATTGAAATACAATTAATGTCTATCGATAGTAGCTAATGATCCATGTATGTGACAGTGGCTAGACACTAGGAGAAGGTATCTTGTGAGTGTGTGTGCACAGGCATGCACACGTGGGTTCTAGGTGCTGTCCTTGAGCTTTTTTGCTCAAGGCTAGTGCTCTACCACTTGAGCCACAGCCGGACTTCTGGTGGTTAACTGAAGATAAGAGTCTCATGGACTCTTTCCTGCCCAGGCCAGTTTTGAACTGTGATGCTCAGATCTCAGCCTCCTGAGTAGCTAGGGTTGCAGGCATCAGCCACCAGTGCCCAGCTAAAGGTACCATTTTTAATCTCATCATTGAGAAGACAGGCTCAGAGATTATATCACACACTCAGGGTCTCAGAAGTAAAATACACCCCACACCAGCAATCAAATCCAGATTTATTTTAGTCTGAAACCTTAAAGAAAACATTTTAAACATCATAAAAGGGAAGGCATATTCTCTCTGGAACTTTATTCTATTTTCCTTAAATGTATGGCCTTTACCCAGTATCTTCATAAACAAACGTCGATGAATTCTCGAAAGAAAAGGCCCGTTTTAAAGAAGCTCAAAAGGGCAACAAAGCGGAGGCAGAAAGTGTGGTCCCGGCAGCCCCTGGCTCCTTTCCCATGGCCTCCGTGTGTGCTGAGGGATCTGCTGGTTTCCGTGGCCCTTGCTGGTGGCCTTGGTTCCGCTTGGCTGCATAGGAATAGAGCCCATGGCTTCCCCCTGTGTGATGGGTCTTCCCTCTCCATGTACAGCATGCTGCAGACTTGGAAAAGAAGCAGAATGAGACGGAAAACAGGAAGCTGCTGGGGACGGTGATCCAGTACGGCAATGTGATCCAGGTGGGTGAGACCGGTGCCCCCTCCGGGGCGGAAGCGTGGCCAGAATGACAGCAAGAAAACCCGTCCCACAGGGTTTGGACGCCTTCACACTCACATTCCATGGAGACGGCCAGTTTGTTGCACACTGGCTGTTGTTATATCCGTTGGGTATTTCTTGTTCTATCTGGTGGATGTTGGGACTGTATATTTGGTTATCTCTTGGTGAGAATGTGTCCTTTTCTGTGTCTGTAGCTGATCGTTTGTGTCTCAATACTTCAAATGAGAAACTGTCTGCCTAAAAAAGGAGCCCCGAGTCTTGTAGTTTTGCTTAATTTGCATTACTTGAAAGTTATTCTGTTTGGTGAGAATTGGCTTCCTTGTAATATTGCTTAAGAGCTGTTCACTGGAGATAATAAAAGCAATTCTATAGTTTCACAATTTAAAAAAAGGAAACATTTACCATGTTGATGCATTTATAATTAGTCAAAAGTACTTGATGACTGTTCTTATATCTTACCAGTTGGAAGATGTGCTTGCTTATCTTCTGTCCCTGAAGGCAAAATACCACCCAAGAGAGAAGGTCTGTTAAGCCTTCCCGAGGATCTGTCAGTCTAGGAGATGGTATATAAAGAGGCCCAGAGCTCAGCACCCTTCTCGATTTGTCCAGTTCCAAATCATTTTAACCCAGACCCAAAGGATGGGAGCCCTGAGTCTATTAGATTATCTTGCTTCATTATTTCCCCTTTTGAAAGGTTTTTGCTTACTCTGTCACTTATTATGACGGGATTCCTTCCCATTAAAAAAAAAAATTGCTGTTAGGTATAGAGCAGTGTCACTCAGTAGGATGTAAAAACAAAACAGTTGGTAATCAAACAAGATAGGGATGTCAGACTTTTTGGCGTAGGGAGGGTAACTCCTGGAAGCTGATTAGATCCTTCCAGACCTCCCTCTGTCCTATTGAGAATGGACGCAAGGGGCCCCGTGGGCTCACAGTTCAGCTTTGACTCTGTTACTGAGCAAGGCCAGTGCCTGGAAGCTCAGAGTGCAAGACCTCCCCACCTGATTTGATTAGACTGGAGAACATACCTGAACCAAGGAAGAAAGAGGTTTCCAGGGGCAAAGACATGAACTCTAAATGCATACCAGTAGGACGTACTGCAGGAGTACTGCAAGGAATCTTGTCATGTCTCAGAGCCATGAAAATGATAGAAATAAAAATGGTAATGAGGAAGTGGCGCTGTGGCTCAAGTGGTAGAGCACTACCCTCGAGCTGAATTACTGAGAGACAGCGCCCAGGCCCTGAGTTCAGGCCCCATAACTGGTAAAAAAAATAAATAAAAAAGATTTTAAAATGGTAATGATTCTGCTTCTGAGGATGGTGGTAGCTGTGATCCACAGCAACTAAATCTGATTACTTTTATTACTTAAACCTTGCTCTTCAGACCATCTGTAAGGAGATGCTGGTTTATAAATCAGCTGAGTCCAGAGCCTGGCCAGGTCTATGGAAAACCACAGGTTACACACTAGGCGAATGAAGGAGATTTGGGAAGACATTGCTATTCCTCTCCCAGAGGCATGGGGCGGGAAGATTGGCAGTTGACCATAGAGTCACAAACTGATTCTTTATGTCTCCAAGGCCATGTTCCCATGTTCTCTCATGGCCTATTGGCCTGGGAAGCATTGGTCAGCTCTTTCTGTTACAGACTGACAATGGTTTCTCAGCTAGGTCTTCCATCTTTCTATCCCCTTTTCGTAACCATCATCTAAGAATCAAGAGTAGTACATAGTAGTACATTCAAGGTGGAAGTTCATGACTGCCGTCTTCTTCCAGAGCAAATGACAATCCCTTTGAAATCAAACCGAATCTTGGGCTCGGGCTTTGGTGTCTGGCAGATTGAGACTATAGCTCCTTAGCTCCTTCTCGTATAGGCAGACTCTTGACCAAGGTTATGTTGAGAAAGGACAAATGTATATGTATTATTTTGTCTTCCGCCCTCTGCTTCTGCTCCCTCTACTGTTCCTTCTCCTCCTCCTCTCCTCGTGATCACCAGCCTCGGGCAGGTTGTGTTCCTTATGCTTCACAGGCAGCTCAGTGATCGGTAGGAATGTGTTTGATATATATTTTATATGATGGAGAGAGAGAAATGGTGGAATGTTCAGAGGTTCACTGATACTTTATTCTCTTGGGAAATTCTTCTAGCTCCTGCATCTGAAAAGTAATAAATACCTAACTGTGAACAAGAGACTTCCAGCCCTGCTAGAGAAGAATGCCATGAGAGTGACGTTGGATGAAGCTGGAAACGAAGGGTCCTGGTTTTACATCCAGCCATTCTACAAGCTGCGATCCATCGGAGACAGTGTAAGCGCCTGGAGCCTGGCCCTGGAGAGTGTGTGGGTGCTGCCTCCAGCCCTCACTGTCTGTGAGACTCAACATGGACAAGTCGAGAGCTGGAACCACAGGCGTATCCTGCATGAATCACTATGGAAACTAGTGTTTGGGAAACAAGGAACTGTGGAGAAAAGTGTGACCTAAATACAGTCACTATGTTTTTCCTACTGGGTCTCTGGAAAATAAAAATTAAAAAAAAAAAAATCCTACGACCAGCCCATTACCTCAGTAATATTGCCACAAAAACAGCCATCCCATATTAATGGCCTGGGAGGACCCCCTGGTCCTTTCAGAGCCATTAGTGGAATGGAAATGTCTGTTTTGAAAATAAAGTTAGTAAAGGACGGAAGATGGAAGGAAATATTGCAGGGTAAGAGTGGATTTTAGGATGTGTCAGTAAACAGGCAGGCTCTCTATCTTCTTATGCAACAGCAGCGGTCCCGAGCCGGCCCCTGGCCTGCAGGTCTACAGAATGGAAAGCCACAGGAATCCCTTTCAGGGCAACTTAGAACACTTGCTAGCTAAATTAGTCATGACGTGGGCACATACTTAACTGTGAATATGTTTAAATGCTATCAGCTATATCCTGGACCTTGTGAAGGTTCTAAAATAATTGTTTCTATACTCAAAAAGGAAATGTGTGCCTTAAACAGCAAGAAGTGTTCTGAAAATACTCAACCAGCCTTAACCTCAAACTAAGTTTGGACATTAAAAAAAAATGGTGTCACTTAAGTATACAAGCTTTGGGCAGTTGAAATATATTTGTGTCTGTGTGTGTGTTCATGCAAGCACATATATATATATATATATATATATATATATATATATATGTGCATATATATATTATATATCAGAACAGGCCAGTCCCTATCAGTTGGCCTACAGTGCAGTTGTTTTATCACAGTGCTGGTTTTATTGAGTGGACTCCCATTCCCTTAGAGTTACTGTTGGATCTGTTCCCATGTGTATCCAACTGAAAGTAGATGAGTTTTCCATCTTGAGAAGCTGTCTCCTCCAATCCTCCTCCTTTTACCCCCATAATAGAAAACAAATGTGTCTCATTCTGAATTTCATTTTCAAGAAACGTATGCTTTCCTATCCTTCAATAGCTTGCTTGAGAATGGTGCTTTACGTGCTAGAGAGATGGGCCCTTTTGCAGGTAGTGGAGTCCCTGTCATGGATTGTGACTATTGGCTTAGGAAATGGAAGTTATCAGGCTTGTGTTTCACAAAGTGGGAAGTACTGTTTTAAGGGGAGTGTACACACATAATGAAGTATCTACGTATGTATGTATATCATAGTAGAATCTTCGTTTTAGGGGGAGACACCGGGCTTGAACTTAAGAGCCCTGTGCTCTTGCTTATTCACTTTTTCACTCATGGTTCTACGATTGAGCCACACCTTTACCTGGGCCTTTTGTGGTTAATTGAAGGTGGAGTCTTGAGGATGTTTCTCTGTCTGGGCTACCTTCGAATCCACATCCTCATATCTCAGCTTCCTGAGTAGCTAGGATTACAGATATGAGCCACTGGTGGCCCAGTGAAAATGTATTTCTTATGACCACAAAAGTATGAAGGCAGTTACTCTAGAAACATAAAACTATGTCTTTATTCAAAGTCAAAAACAACTATGAAAATATTATCATTTTTTTCTGAAATGGAGTTACGTACACAAGAACCTCCACTGAATATGATAAAGTGGACTTTTACTTCATGACTTGGGACGTGTGCGTGAATCAATGACAGTTGGGCACCAAAATTCAGCCTTCGCCTTCTTTGTACGACCCTTGGTCTGCACAAGATGAGACTTGAGGGGCTGGGCCATGTGTTCTGCCTCTCCCTGCCCGTGAGACTAGACAACGCTCGGGACAGGCTCCTTTGGGTCCCTGCAAGGTTCCCTGGGGGTCAGGTGCGGTCCTGATCTGCTCTGTGAAAAGCTCTGCTCCCTCTCTCCTTCTAGGTGGTCATTGGGGACAAGGTGGTTCTGAATCCAGTCAATGCCGGCCAGCCCCTCCATGCCAGCAGCCATCAGCTGGTGGACAACCCAGGTTGCAACGAGGTGAGGAAAACCAAGGGAACTCGAGTCTTGGCACATGCCTGGGGTGGCCCTCTGGGGCCCAGAGCATGCATACTGTGAAGGTGACTCCAGCAGTGATTTAGGGCCCTCTCTGCCCGTTCTGCAGGCGAAGAAACAAGGTCCAGAGTTGAGTTGAGCTGCCTGTAGGTTTGCAGGTCCGGTAGTGGGTGGTAGGTGGGCTGATGGTCACCACTGTGCAGCACTGAGGAATCTAGTTCTAATTGACTTTGCCTGAAAGGGGTCTGGCCACAGGAATACCTTTCTCTAATTCCCCAGAAACACATGTTACCGGGTATAAGCAGTACTGTGAGTGTGTCCTGCTTGGGGCAGTCCATCTTATTAACTGGCGGTTACAAGATGCAAGATGGCACTTTGCCTGTGATGTGAATACTTTGTCTCATGGCTAAGGACAAGCTCTAGAGTAGGACAGGTGTCACTCAGATTGACTCTGCCGTTCCCTGGCTGTGTGACTGTAGATAGATCACCTAATGTTTCTGAGTATCATTTCCCAATCTCTGAAAGGGGACGGATGCTAGTTTATTAGGGAGTTACTGAGAACTAAATTAGGTAGCTCAGTGCCTGGCATATATTTAGAACACAAATAATGGCATTTGCCATTAACGGTGATCATTAACTTTTTCACATGTGCACCAAACTCATTTCTTACCTTAGAAGCTTAGTCCATTTCATAAGCACTAGTTCTTAAGTACTTGTGCCCACATCCGTGATTCAAGCTTGGGCTGCAGTGAGGAATTCTGGGGCTAGAGTACCAAGTTGGGAGCAGTATATAATTGGTTCTCTAGGTCAATTCCGTCAATTGCAATACAAGCTGGAAGATAGTCCTGTTCATGAAGTGGAGCGACAACAAAGAGGACATTTTGAAGGGGGTGAGTTTGGTGCTCTCTGGGCTGGGGGCTCTTTGATGTTCGGCTTCTCTCTCTGGGCTGGGGGCTCTTTGATGTTCCGCTTCTCTCTCTGGGCTGGGGGCTCTTTGATGTTCGGCTTCTCTTTGGCAGTTTTGCTGGGTTTTGATTCTTGTTTTTCACACTCATTTGTCCTTCCTTCCTCCTTGTGATGACGTGTAGGGCGATGTGGTGAGGCTCTTCCACGCGGAGCAGGAGAAGTTTCTCACGTGTGATGAGCATAGGAAGAAGCAACATGTGTTCCTGAGGACCACCGGCCGGCAGTCGGCCACATCTGCCACCAGTTCCAAAGCCCTGTGGGAGGTGGAGGTAAGGAGCGGGGCTGGGGTTAAAGGGACTCACACCTGAGGAAGAGCTCCTCAAGAGGGCAGGGTTGAGCCCGTGCTCACTGGAGGATCTGTGTCTTGGAAGGACGAGATGAACGCAGTGAGTCACTGCAAGAATGGCTTTGAACTGGAAATAGGAGGCAATCTCTTGACCTAGTTTGGTGGAGAGAGGAGACAGGCAGGGAAAACGGGACATAAACTTGCTGGAGACCAAAGCCTAAGGACCATAGATCCAGGTTGCCTTCAGGTAGCATTTAATTCATAGGCAGGGAAGCAATGTTGGAGTCGCATAATCGGTGTGCTCCTTAACAGAGACTGTTCTGCCCATAGTATGTTGCTGAAAGGCTACAGTTTCCAGGCCAAGAAGAAAACGATTCCAGATGCTTGATGGTAGAGGTAATGAGAGCACGAAGTAAGACAAAGCTTTCCTCCTCACCCAAAGTATTCCTCTCTGTATAACCGGCAGCTCTCTGACTAGGAATGTGTGTCGGTCTCTACGTGCCCCCTCTCTTCTTCCTTCCTGGCCTCACGGGTTTTGTGTCTAGCTTACATTTCAGAAAGAAGGTAGACCAGGAAACACATGAGTAGTAACTCTGGAAGGTCATCAGGCCTGCTGCTAGCTAGTTGCCCCTTGTTCTCCTAGAGACATAGCTGCTAACTTGATCTCTTTCTCTATAAATTACTCTTGCCTGACATTGAATTTATACAAATAGAATCAGACTATATATAGCCTTCCTGGAGCCATATTTCCCCTTCCTCCTCAGCACAATTATTTCACATCTGTGCACTTGTGTGTACCAAATCGTTCATGCCTTGCCATTGCTGCATAGTATTCTACTGCATGGGTGGTCCACAGTCTGTCTGCCTGTTGATGGAATTTGAGTTGTTTCTCATTTTTGGCTGTTACAAACAAGGCTTTCTAGGGACATTTATGTACGGTTTCTGTTTGGAGGTCAACTCTCATATCTTTTGGCCAAAGATGAGTGCAGTAGTTGGATTACATGGTAGATTTGTGTTTATGAGTCGCCAAATTGTTTTCTAAAGTGATTGGACTACTTTACATCCCTTCCAGCAACGTGTGGAAATCCTAGTTCCTGTACATCCTCACCAGCTCTTGGTATGATTAGTCTTTTCAGTGTGAGACTAACTTGGGTGGCAACGTCTCACTTTGAGTTTACTTTGCCTTTCTCTGTGGCTGGCAGTGTTGACCATCTCCCCTCGTGCTCAGTGGCCATTTGTGTGTCTGGCCATTATGTGTTTGATAAGCAGGCTGAGGTTTCCATTTACACTTACTGTCCGCCCTCAGTCTATTTTCCTCTTCACTTTCTCCTGCCTGCATCCTTAGCATTTGACAATATCAATCCCACCACATTGTAAAAGCTGGTCATTGGTCCATGCTCATCCTCATTGTTTTAGCTGCTGTGGGTTTTGTTGTTTATTAGCGTGTGCGTAGGATGCTGGTGAGAGGTTAAAAAAAAAATAGAAAAAACAAAATCAAGAAAAGGAAAGGAAAAAATGATATCATGTTGCTAATATGCCCACTTCTTTGAGCCATTTTTCTCTGATCAGAATATGCTGCATCAAGACTTCATTTTATAAACAATTTTTACCTTGTTTTATGTATCACGCTTTAATAAATGGGGGGAAGTTAGCTGTCAGAATCCTACCAAAGTCAGTGTGGCTTACTTTAATGCCTTTAAACAGCAAGGAACCCTGGCTTGGTCATTCCAAACTGATGGAAATGAATAAAAGATGATGGCTTTCTGTGGGGATTTGACTTTGAAAAGTTCACTTCAGAACATCTTCCCTTTCTCTGAGAAGAAACGGCTGTGTAATTCTTAATCTATTAAAGGCTCTTTCCTACTGCCCACCTTCCCAAAATTTTCTTTTTTTTTTTTTTTCACCTTTCCAAAATTTTCTAGGAAAATGTTTTAAGTCTTTCTTCTTAATTTTTCCCCTACAGATTTTAGAAATGTAATTATCCCTTCAAATAAAAGAAGGAAGAAAACACTATGTATTTTAGATTTTTATCAATGCTCTAAAGTTTCATGATGTCTTTTTTTGTGTGGCACTGGGATTTGAACTAAGGGCCTCCCACTTGCTACACTGGCACTCAACCACTAGAGCCATGCCTCCAGCTGATTTTTGCTTGTTATTTTACAGATGAAATCTAGTGATCTTTTCTTTTTCTTTTTCTTTTTTTTTTTTTTTTGGGTCCGGTCTGGGCCTGGGCGCTGTCCCTCAGCTCTTCAGCTCAAGGCTAGTGCTCTACCACTTGAGCCACAGCGCCACTTCCGGCTTTTTTCTTTTTGCTTATGTGGTGCTGAGGAATTGAACCCAGGGCCTCATGCATGCAAGGCAAGCGCTCTACCACTGAGCCACCTTTCCAGCCCCTGATCTTTTCTTTTTGAGATGGCCTTGAACTATGATCCTCTGGATCTCTGCCTCGTAAGTGGCCAGGATTACAAGCATGAGTCCCCAGCGACCAGCTTTTTGCCATGTCTCTATTAGCTTATTGCCAGCCAGCATTGCATAATGCTGTGTTATTCACGTGACCTAAGTCCATTACAATAGTTTGCTTCTGTTTCCTCTTCCTATCCTTTGTGTGGCTATTATCACTGTGTTTCTCCGTGTGTCAGACATCCCACAGTGTGTTTTTACTTTTCCTGCCTTGTTTACAAATGAACATCAGGAATCTTTCTTATTTACGTACATAGTTATCATTCTGAGCTTTGCGTGGATCCAACTCTTTAAAGGGTATAATTTTTCTAGCCTGAAGAACTTCCTTTGTTCTCGCTTGTACTTGTGAGTCTGCCCCTGACAGATCCCTCCACCCTCATTTGGGTGAAAATACCTTTGATTTTTTTACCTTCATTTTAAAGCAGGATTATTTTCCTTTTTTTAAAACATTAGTTTTTTTGTTGAGATGCAATTCATATACTTCCTATTTCACACAAAATGTGTGGACTTTAATGACTTTTATTGGGTTCAGAGGGTTGTACAATTATTTCTATAATGTTTTGGAATTTTTGTTGTTGTTGTTGGTCGTGGGGCCTGAACTCTGGGCCTGGGTGCTGTCCCTCAGCTCTTCAGCTCAAGGTTAGCACTCTACCACTTGAGTCATAGTACCAGTTCCAGCTTTTTCTGCTTAGGTGGTGCTAAGGAATTGAACCCAGGGCCTCATGCATGTGAGGCAAGCACTCTACCACTGAGCCACCTTCCCAGCCCCACCAAATGATATTTCGTTGGATCGTTTCCACTTTAGATCTTGAGAGGGCTACTAAGACCATACGAGTACACCCTGTGCATGTATTTTTCTTGTGAGGGGAACTGTGAGTTATTTACTTTTCCTGTGTAACCTTTAGCAGGGCTGCCAGGCTGCCTTCTGAAGGGGTCACCTGCATGACATGCCTGGCCAGTGGCCTTCATTTCTGAAAAGGATTCTTGTTGGATTTTGAGTTCTAGATACACTGTTTTCTTTCTGATCCATTGTCTTTTGGCTCATGCTGATTTTGGTAGGAATGTGGTAGTTTTCAGATCTGTTCCTTCTATGTATTATTGCTTCCCCACCTTCTTCAGCTGTCTCCAGGCTTTTCCTTTTGTCTTCTCTTTACATGAATCTGATGATGGTGTATGTGTGTGCACACGCTTTTGGAATTCATTAAGTTTCTTGATTCTGAGGGCATATATCAAAATTGGAAAACTGGCTCATATTTCTCAAATTAACCCACAGGGTCATCAGATTATTTGAGATTACCCAGCTGAATTTCTGGGTTGCCTCTTCCTGACTGTATTTCTTGGTGACTCTTTGCTGAACACTGTAGTGCTCCTTTATTGGATGATTAGAATCCTGTCCCTGTAACAGTGGTGAGAGTTTTGTTGGTCTAGTTGCTGTGGGTCAGCGTGAGCCTTTGAAGGCTCATTTTTTTTATGCTTTATTAGGTCACAGTAGAGATGCTTTTATCTTTGGGCCAGATTAGCTCTGCCATTAAGGGGAATCTTTTTGATGTCTCAGTGCGTAAGATGGTTAACAGGCTGGGAATGTGGCTTAGTGGTAGAGTGCTTACCTAGCATATGTGAAGCCCTGGGTTCAATTCCTCAGTACCACATACACAGAAAAAAATGGAAGTGGCACTATGACTCAAGTGGGAGAGCGCCAGCCTTGAGCAAAAGAAGCTCAGGGGCAGTGCGTAGGCCCTGAATTCAAGCCCCTGGACTGGCAAATTTATAATAATAATAATAATAATATAATGGTGGTTGTGGTTCACAGGACTGTCTTGTCTTGTCAGAATCAGAACCTTTCCCTGAGTGAGGGTCAGTACTACGGAGCTTTCACCTCCCTTCCTGTACTGTGTGTGTGTGCTGGTGTGTAGATGTGTTGCTGGAGACTAGTCTAGTGCTTCACACTTGGTAACAAGTGCTCTACCACTGAGCATCATCCTCTGCCCTCTTTGTTTTTTATTGGCTGTGTGGATCTTGCCTTATACATAACATGTTTTAATATTTACAGCCAAACTTGAGAACTATTGCATAGATCCTGGACTTACCTCTGTGTGGCTCTGTGCCCCAGAGTTCTGCCCCTCAAACCCAGTGCTTGAGTCTCGCTAGACTGTGATTCAGCCTTGTAACTCCGAGAGCTCGGTGCCCTCAGGCTGGTGCCCTCCAACCCCAGAGAATCTGGGCAGAAAACCAGAGCAACATAGTGCTCACCTTGTTTCCTATTGTCAGAGACCACAGTAATGCACCATCTGTTGCCAAGCAAGCAAGAACAGTTGTTTCACATTTTACCCAGTTTTATCTATGGCAATTTTATGTTTCAAACAGTGTTTAGTTGTGTATGACATCACCAGCATATCATGGCTAGACTCTGAAGTTTTGTAGTAAACCTACCCTGCCTCTCAAGAATTCTGTGTTTCTGAGCACAGGTCTGGGTGTGCATTCCAGTACACAATGGTAGACCTACCCTGCCTTGAAAGTCCTCCAGAGAAATCCTCTCAGTCAGCTGGTATCTTGTGGATGAGTTTCAGAATCTTCTATTTCATTAGTAAGGCAAAGGATCCAAAAACTACTGGAAGTCCTTCAGTCAGTCATGTTACTAAGAGACTGTTAGCATTTCCATGTTGTTATAGTTTGGGAGTTCCATGTGATACTTGTCCACTTGTTTGTTGGACAGTACTGGTTTTTCTGGTTGAAAAATATCCACTTCCTCTTGGGCTAGATGTGAGTGCCATGTACCTGTAATCCTAGCTACTTGGGATGCTGAGATGGGGGAGGGGTGGAGTTTGAGGGCATCACATAGCACATTCATGAGGGCATACAGGTAAGACTGCTTCGCGGCAAATAGCATGCCATGGTAGCGCATGCCTGTCATCATCGCTCCGTGAGAGACTGAGATCAGAAGGATCATGGTTCTAGGACAGCTTGGGCAAAAACAAAAACAAAACACAGGATTCCATCTCCACAGAAGCAGCTGGGCATGGCAGCATGCACTTTTCGTCCCAGCTATAGCAGGAAGCGTGAAATAGGAGGATTGTGGTCAGGTATGTGCCCGGGCAGGAAGTGAAACCGTATCTCAAAAGATCTCAATACCAGGGCTAGAGATGTGGGTCTGTGGTAGAACACCCACCTAGCAAGTGTAAGGTCCTAGCCCTAGTTCCACTAGGAAAAAAGAAAGCTACCACTTCTGAAAGAGGAGTTTTGATGTCTCCGATTCAGAGTCATGTAGGGTGGGAGGGACATCTCTTCACTCCTGCTGATCCTCCTCCTCTGTGCAGGTAGTCCAGCATGACCCTTGTCGTGGTGGAGCAGGATATTGGAACAGCCTCTTCCGTTTCAAGCACCTGGCCACAGGGCATTACTTGGCCGCAGAGGTAAGTAGCAGCATTGTGGGGTTTTTTTGAAGGTGAACACACCCAGTCTTCTTATTCACCTGTAGTTTTCCAGTAGCTGCAGCTCAGGAATGCTGCCACCTTGGTTTTCCTCCTGCTTTTCTGCTCCCTTCTGCCTCATTTCAGTAGAAAAGAGAAAAACGGCTAGCACACTCTAGGATTTGATAGGGTATCTCACCAAGGGGTGGGGAGCAAGTAAGTTAGAAAATAAATGCTCCTGTAGGGTTGAGGATTATCTTTGTTTTGTTCTTGCCCACTACTCTCCTCACATCCTATCTACCAGCCCCACTCGGGCATGAATGACTGAGAGGTGGCTGCAGTGAATCTGTGGCATGTAAAGTCAGAAGTATTAAAAACCCATGAAGAGGGGCTGGGAAGGTAGCTCAGTGGTAGAGCACTTGCCTCACATGCATGAGGCCCTGGTTCGATTCCTCAGCACCACCTAAGCAGAAAAAGCCGGAAGTGGCGCTGTGGCTCAAGTGGTAGAGTGCTAGCCTTGAGCTGAAGAGCTGAAGGACAGCTCTCAGGCCCTGGGTTCAGGCCCCACGACCAGCAAAAAAACAAAAAACAAAAAAAACCCATGAAGAACAGAACCAGGCAAGTTCCCAGAGAAACTGGATTCCTTGAACCCAGTGAAATAGATACAGGCTTAAAACGCAAAGAAATTAACTTTATGTTTAAAGTCTGTGAGAGTTTTGGGGGGCAAGGCTCAGTGTTGAAGGCAAGAGGAGCTTACCTTCTACTTTTTGCATTCAGTGAAGGAGCCATCCTAGCGTGTGGCAGATGTTGCTTCCTTCTGATTGGCTGGAAGGTGTGCAACGCACATTCATGTCAGACTCTGCTCATACATCTGCTCCCATCATCTGGTTCTACCTGCAAGACCGCTCAGAGATTTCCCAGGGGGTGCGTGGGTGTATCAGGCCTGCTCCTGCGGCCGACTGGGGGTTGTGGAATCGCAGTGCTAAGCTCCTAGGAGGGCCTGAGGCTTGTATGAATTGATGATGTTTTTTAAACATTTGAATATGGAAGATCGAGAAATCTAAACTGAAATTTGAAATGGATCTTTAGAGGAGATATGGACCCAGCTCATCAGCTTAGGAGATGCTGTGGTTTGCTGAAGATTAATGGCGGTTGTATTATCTGCTGTGTGAGGCAAATAGAACTCTTCCTAGAGGAAGGCCTGATTTAGGATTATCAAGGATCTTTTTGTTTCTCTCGGGCCTTTAACTGTTGCTTTGCTGGTGACTCGTTTTGTTTCCTCTGTCTGTACTTTTGAGCCATGTGCTGGTAACCGGTGGATTGTTCCGTGTGTGCTGTGCCTGTGTGACCCGTGTTCTTGTTGTGGCATGCTGGTTCTGTGAACGGAGGGAAGGGACGTGTTCTTAGCTGGTCACCGATGGATACAGGTGTGGAAGTCTCCTGCAGATGGGTCCTAGTCCTTGAGAAAACAATGGATGTTTTAATTTCCTAATGATTCTTTTTCATCAGGTAGACCCTGACTTTGAGGAAGAATGCCTGGAGTTTCCACCCTCAGTAAGTATGGGCAAGAGCCTTCTTGATTTCATGTGGTAGGGTGAGGCCAAATGAGCTGGAATCCACTTAAGAAACGGTCACTGTGGCCACAGAGTGCTGGGGAAGGGGAAACCTTGGGCTGCTTTAAACAAGATCTTGTTCTGTGCCTTTCTTAATGGAAGTCATGTTCTTCTGTGTTCGGATTGGCTCCAGCCCTACTGGTCTTGATGCTCTTTCAGTGTGTTCAGTGCAGAGTCTCCTCTCCTCTGGAGATGTGCGTGGTATCTCTCAGAATACTCTTGGATTGGAGACATTGGTAGCCCAAATGGAAGTTGGCCTTTTATAAACAGTGATCTTAACTGCTGTTTAATTCCATCTGTGGCTTACTTGGGTTTTCAATGAGTAGGATGATATGGATAGTGTCCTTTGAGACTGTGGCCATGAGGCCTGGTACAGCTGGCTTGTGATGAGACGGTGTCTATCCCTCTGGTCTTGCTGTCTACAAAGTCAGAAATAGGCTTTAGGGAATGACGTGGTTTGGCATTTTATTGCAAAATGGACTTTTCTTTGGAGACCATTTGGCTAAATAATGCTAACATGTAGGTACTTGAGTTCTAGTGTCCCATTACTGGTTCAGGAATGCAGGGGTTGTGTTTGCTGGACAATGGGCATAAGGAAAATGTTTCTTTTCCAGAGTGCTTGATCTAGAATTACAAAAAACAAAACAAACAAAAAACACTCCAAACAAAAAAGCAACCCAGACAGTTACTGCTCAATTGACACATGAGGAGGAACTTGGAGATCTTGAGAGTACTGGTTTTTTATGGTTGCTGTTGTTTGTTTTTAGCAAAATTCACCAAAAAATTTGGAAGGACTAGCACATCAATGAAGGGAGTTGGGATGGAGGTATTTTAAAATATAATTGTCTTTAGAAATTCTTGTGAATCCTGCATTAATGGTTAACTCTGGTTATGTTTGGGTGAAATGTTGGCTTGAAAGACACTCAGAACTGTATGTATCTGTACATGTATAAATGGGCTGGGGCCTGAGGCCATCTTTCTCCTTTCTGTCCTTGTCATCCTCACTCTTTTGAAAAATGTACCTTCTACAATTAATGTGGTTCGAAAAACCTTGGCCTAGTCTAACTTTTGGCCAGTGTTCATGGAAGTCCATTGTAAAACCTCTCTCTATAGTTCCTATGCTATTTGAACACTTGGCCTGGCTTTATTTTCCATACAACATTTCTTGTCTCTGTCCTTTCTGTTTCAAGCGGACTGCCTTAGTGTGACTGGCCTCTGGTGACCTCTGTGCTGTCATCTGAAGTGACTAAGAGTAGATCTTACATTAGCAGTTAGGTAAGGGGTAGCTTCTTGCATTAAGAGCTGGTATATGAATGAGCCTCTGGGTGTCGGGGGGAAAGAGATGGCTCTCCTAGCCTCTGGATGGATGAAGAAAGACCAGCAATTTCAGTGCAGAATCAAGTGTACAGTGATCACATACTAGGGACTAGGGAGTCAAGACAGACCTGAGTTACATCCCAGATCTACCTCTTGTCAGGACCCTGACTTGGTCGAGATATTTTCCCTCTTGACACCTCTCCTCTATCCGAGTGGTATTTTTTAGTTGTATCTGAACACTGGCATTTTCAGTGCCTTTGCATCTACAAGGTCATCTGGGCTGTGCCGGAATTAGGAGGTTTTACGACTGTCAGTTGAAAGAGAAGAAGATGCCATTGTGAGTGGTCCTGACTTAGGATGCACCTTAGCCTCTCTTCAGGTTTGGTGGCCTTTCTGTGGCTCAGACTTCTTGATGCTGGGGTGGCAGGGTGAAGACAGGTGAGGTACGGATGCAGGTACCTGCTCCGCCTGCTCTGAGGCCGCACGGGCATGCTGCACAGATGGCGGAGGCATGCCCGTGAGGCTGGCAGCACAAAGTTGGCTGCTATGGGTGGAGCATGAATCCTGGGAGGGTCCTGCACCCTTCACCCTCTGCTTGGCTTGAACCTTGGGCAAAAAAGCTAGAGTTGTGTGAGTTTGGGTGAAGAAGCATCTCAAGGCTCTGCTGCTCATTGATTCCCCTGAGGCGGGCTCCCGGCCCCTGGGGTTTTACCTCAAGCCTAACTCAGCTGTGCTGTGTTCACCTTGAATGCAGTGGCCCCCTCAGGCCACTTACTCGGTCCCTCAAGGGAGACATAGGCCAATAGAGGCTGCTCTTCTCTGTCCACTGTACCAGTGCCTTTCTTCCCACTAGGTGGCAAATGCCGACTGCACACTGACCGAGGAGGGAGGCACCTCGCTCAGTGTCCCTTGCAGATATGGTGGGCTCAGCGCAGTCTTAGTTCTCTAGACCTGCCACGGGTCTCTGCAGTGCCACTGCTAGCCTCAGCCAAACCCTGTGTCATCGTCAGGTCAGAGAGTTGATGCGGGAAGTTACTTCGCAATTAGAAAGTCTCACTGTGGAACAGATGTCCCGTGTTCTAAACTGAGGATGCAGATGTTGCTCTCCTGCTGTTACTTTGGCATAGCAAGAATAAGCGTTCTGGGTTGGCATATGTATATGTATATAGATATACATGTGTCTGTATATCTATATACATATATAAAAGAGGGAGAGACAGAGACAGGTCTAGCTCTCTTGCTCAGACTCGTCTTGAACTGGGCTCAAGTGGTCCTCTTCTTTAACTCCCTGATAGCTCAGGTAGTTGGGACTACAACAGGTGCATACACCACGCCCAGCTAAAAGAACTCATACTGACAGTGGCCTTCTCTTCTAGACCTCAGACCCCATGGAGTTTATTTCTTACATGCTTTCTTCTTTGCCTTGATTTGACTTCGTGTTCTTCCTGGTACATTCCTCGCTGGTCAGACAAGAGGTAGTGGTTTGGCCTGAGAAGCAACCTAGGGATGAGGGAGTATGTGCGTGGGGGGAGGGAGTTGGTGGATACAGATGGATGCTGTCATTTTGTAGGGAGTTGCACATTAGAAAGCATTCCACATTGAGTGGACAAACCGAGAGGGAGCTTGCAAAGCCTATCAGAGCAGGTTCCCAGGCTAAAATCTGCTTACATCTCCTTAAGCCCATGCTCATCGGAGCCCAGAAAGTATTTTTACAGTTTCCCAGGAATACTTTGTCATTGTCAGCCTTTACTTTCAGGACTTTTCCCCATTTCAACCAAATCTTGGTATAGCAGGAAAGGCCCTTTCCTCTATCTGGGCATCAGTAGCCCACCCAGCTCATGGTTTTCAAGGATAGCCTAACTTGTCCAATAGACCCTGGGCTTACTGGCCATATTGGAGTTGGTGCTTATGACTGACTGCTTGGATTCAGGTTTCTGTTATTTCTTTTCCTGGAAAGCAGCTGCCTTATTGTTGGTAGACACCAATCACTGCAGATGAACACAGCAGTGTCCATTTCCACAGAGTAGTTTCCTCAGAGCACATTCGCTGTTCCCCCACCTGCTACAAATGGATATAGCTCTGCAAAGGTCCCTGTCATCAATAGCTAACCTTTCCACGGGCATCTGCTATCACTCCACATTGCTTAAGTGTTTTTTACTGGAGTAGAAGGAGGTAGAGAATACATAGTCTTGGCTCAGGTGGCTGCTTATCACTGTTCACAACAAATCGTGGTCCTTTTCCTGTGAACTACTGATACTGTCGTTTCTCCTCTGTTCCTGAGGATTGTGGAATGATGGTGGTGAGCGAAGGCTGTGACATACAGGAGTCTTGACCAGATGGCTTTGTGCCCTCAGGTGGACCCAGACCAGGATGCGTCTCGGAGTAGGCTGCGAAATGCCCAAGAAAAGATGGTATACTCCCTGGTCTCTGTGCCTGAAGGCAATGATATCTCCTCCATCTTTGAGCTCGACCCTACCACCCTCCGTGGAGGTGACAGCCTCGTCCCCAGGTATGACTTCAGTCAGAATGGCTTACCCCAAGGAAACCAGGGCTGGTCCTAGTGGCCTGCCCATTTCCTGGAAATCCGAATCGTTACTGTCTTCAGAATTGGCAAAAGCACTTGGACTGGGTAGTAACTATGGCATGTGATTCTTATATGGCTCATGAGTGGTAAGTTGAATAAAAAGCACTTGATTGAGGTGAACATCAAGCAATGGAGTCACATTTTACGTGACTGGCTTCTTTTACTTAGTGTTGTGTTCAAGATTCATCTCCACCTTCAAGCATATAGCAGTATTTTATTTACTTTTATCACTAAATAATATTCCATTGTGTGGATGGTGCACATTTTATTTATCCACTTATTAGCTAATGATCATTTGAGTTGTTCATGCATTTGGCTTACAATGAGAACAGTACTCCTGTGAAGGTCTCAGCCTACATAGATAGATAGATAGATAGATAGATAGATTGATTGATTTTTTTTTTTTTTTTTTTGGTTGGTCATGGGGCCTGAACTCTGGGCCTGGGTGCTGTCCCTCAGCTCGAGGCTAGCACTCTACCACTTGAGCCACAGATCCACTTCCAGCTTTTTCTGCTGAGGACTGGGACCCAGAGCCTCATGCATGCAAGGCAAGCACTCTACCACTGAGCCACCTTCCCAGCCCAGTGTGGGCATTTATTTATTTTTCTCTGCAGTCTGTGTCTAGGAGTAGAATGCAGGATCATAGGGTAACCACGTTTTGAGGACCTGCCGAGTTTCTTCTCAAGGCAGATAGGCCATCCTCCTTTCCCTCCATCAGCATGGGCCGGTTCCAGCCTCTCTGCATTCTCTCTGCCGCTCGTTATTGCCTGTTTTACATGAGCCATCCTAATTGGAATTTTTCTTAGGACTTCAGGGGATGACATTTATATCCTGTGCTAGTTGTTAAAGTTGGTTAGGATGGAACAGAACAGAGCATGATTTAAAATGTCATATTGCTCCATCAGATACAGAAAAAATGAGTAGCTGGTTGGCCCGTGTTCTGTTCCCTAGCGGTCTGGAAATCCCCGCAGCCATGTGGAAAAGAAAAGTTGAAGTCTTCTGTATTCCCTCTCTTCATTATTGTCTGTTTCTTTGTGGACAGGTATGCCAGCTAGACTGGTGTAAACTCAGAAGCAAGAGTTTTCAACTTGATGGAAAAAGTGCTCTGCATGTTCACTTCCTGTTCACTTACTACTTTGGGCTTGCTCTCTGTTTTAGAGTTTTTTTAAATTCATGTTTGCCCTTGGTCAGCAGCCTGAGTGCCAAAAGACAAGACCTCTAGTTCATTGATCCTGTGGAGGCAGAGAACCCTAGGGAATAGTTAGGCACCATGGCTCACTTCTGTAAATCCTAGCTAGTTATCAGGATTGCTGTTCAAGGCCAGCCTAAGTGAAGTTTCCATGTCAATCAATAATGGACTGAGTACACACCAGTCATCCCAGCTATGTGGGAAGTATAAATACAATTGGGGTCTGGGCAACCTGGGCAAAATGTGAGTTATTATTAGAAAAATAATAAAACCCCAAAAGAGCTTAGGAGTATGGCTCAAGCAGTAGAGCACCTGCCCAGCAAGTGAAGGCCTTAGGACCACTGAAACAAAAACAACCACCATAAACAAAAACACCATAGAAGTCCTATGTTCATTTCCCTGCTTCTTAAATTTATGCCGAGTTTTTTGCTTGTTTGCAGATCAAAAGTTTACGTTTAGTTATGTGAACTTGGGTGTACTTGGGTAAATGTTATCAACAAGGGCATTTCTGAGATAGTCAAAGGAAGAGGCACAGTGTCCAAACCTGGATGTACTAAGTGATACTGGAGTCGCAGATGCATAAATCAGATGCACGGAATGAGCACTGGGAGAGCATGCAGCCCTTGGGGCTCTTTTGTCCTCGTGCTGATCGAGCGTGGCTTTTGAGTTAATGGCTAGGAATGAGACTTTTAGAGGAATTGTCTCTTGTGTCTTAAATGAAATTTGACAAAGAACTATAAAATGTAATCATCCAACTAAAAAGCTAGGCTCTGAGCTTTGATTATGCTTGAAAGTAAGCAAAATTAACCAATTCACTCAGCATAAACATACATCCTTTTTAGCAAACAAGTATCTTGTTACTTATTTTGTATTCATGCCACTAAGTAACTGTCACTAGTGTTATCCTCTTGGGGGCTTACTTGGAAGATTCAGGGCAGTTGGAGGGAGGAAAGCAGGGGGCCTGCTAAGATCCAGGTCTGATCTTCTCCCCTGCTCTTCCCTGTGAATGTGGTATGCCACTGTTCTACATTTCTTTTAGTACGAAAGTCTTCCTTCCCCTGCCCCCTCTCAGACCTGTTCTACCAATGGCAAGTGTTCCAGCTAGAAAAAACCTAAATTGTAACAGAAAGCTTCTATTACTGTCTGAGTCCCCCTTGACTGTCTCTGAAGACATGCTTTTTCATGTCTCCTGTTCATCAGATTGCTTGGAGGACATTCATCTTGTCCCACTAACGGGAGTAGGCCTTTTAAGGAAAGGAATTGCTTCTACTACTTTTTTTTTTAATGAAAAGCTAAATTGAAAAGCCTAGAAAACTGCCCTATGCTCAATGTAGAAAAACAAGATAGAAATGTCTGAAAACCCTGTGAAAAAAACAAGAAACAAGTAAAACAAAGAAAAAAGACATCCAATTCAACTGTCCAACCACTGGTGAAATTTTGGTTCATGTAGTTGAGACATTTCTTTGTACATACAGCAATAGCATCTATTTTATTTCTGAAAGATGGGACCATAAGCTGTTTTGATCAATTTTTTTATGGAACAGTCAGTATATTACATCCACATTCCAAGCAAATGACTGTTGATTGTATCATTTTAAGTAACTTTGTAGTTTCTATTTCTTTCTATGCATGCAGTATAATTAACTAGTCCTTTACTGAAAATGGAGACTAAGTTTTTGTAAGGATAGATAATACTTTCTTGAACATCTTTGTGCACATTTTGTACTGTGCAATTATTTCTTAAAGGAAAAGATTTTGAAATGATATGACTAGAATTAAAAAGATTTATATTTATAACACATTATAAAATGCCCGACTCCTGACAGGGCACAGGTGGCTCCTTGGAATTCTAGCTATCTAGAAAGCTCAGATCTGAGAATCGAAGTTTGAACCAGCCTGATCAAAACAGTCCATGAGACTCTCTTCTTCTGTTAACTAGCAAAAAAAGCTGGACTAGAAGGGTAGCTCATATAGTAGAGTGCCAGCCCTGAGCAGAAGAACTGAGTGAGAACACAAGCCCTGAGTTTAAGCCTTGAAACTAGCATACACATATGAATATGCATGTGAGCATACACACACAAGATTTCTTTCCAGAGCTTGCCTGATGACTTTGTCACCCATTTACCAAAGATATGCTCGGGCTACTATGCCTACTATGAGCTCCAAACAAATAAAAGTAAAAGCAAACCTAATTAAACCTCCAAAACCCAATATGTAGAACTCACTTCCTTAAGCTCTTGTTGCTACTCTCAGTTTTGAAGCTTCTTAGAATGTGACAGGATAAAATGATATATTGTCTTAATTTTTGTACATTATAAACCGAGAAGATTGACTGCCCAATTGATATGCTAATGAGCTGTTTATACTTCATTATTACTGATTTGTGTCCTTTTCACAGTTTCATTTCTATTATTCATGCCTTTCTTATTGATTTGTGGGATTCATTAGATGTATGGATTAATAATCATTTTTAAAAATTTCCTTTTTATTTTTAAATAGTTGTACAAAGGGACTCATAATCTTTCATGTTGTGTTTTGCTCTTTTTTCTTGAGACTGTTTTCTGTCAGGTTTGCTCATGACCTGTGCACATGCATATACATTTGCCCTATAAAAGATGTGACACTTAGACTGTGCAATAAAATTTGTCCTTTTCCTTTGAAAATTGGAAGATCTTATACTCAGTTGCTTCAGAATGTTCTCATGCCACAAGATTAGTGCATATTTACACATATTTTCTCCTAAGAACTTTATGATTTTATTTTTTGCTTTATTGAACCTTAGGAAACTTCCTTTTTATCATCACTGGTGAGAAGTGTTCCTTTACACTTACAAAGTTGTACTCAGTTATTGGTGTTATATTAAAATATCCTTTTTAATAACAAGATAATGATCTTATGTTTAGAAATACAGATGATAGCAATACTTTCAGAGTCACTATGAATTATTTTCTGCTACAAATACATTAGAATGTGACTTGTGCCACAGCTCTGTGCCCCTCAGAGTGTGTATTGTCCTGTGGTTGTGGTAAGAAGTTTGGCATAGGTTTCTACTTTGATTAGTTATATTATAGACAAGTGACTATTGAGTAGCTAAATATTCCTGTTCCTGGAACCTTTCTTCCCTTTAGGAACTCCTATGTCCGGCTTAGACACCTGTGCACCAATACCTGGGTTCACAGCACAAATATTCCTATTGACAAGGAAGAGGAGAAGCCCGTAATGCTGAAGGTAAGTGCCAGCATGTGGCCACCTCCTCAAGGTTGCCTGCTCCCTAGTGGAAGGCCTCCTTTGACTACGAATAAGGGAATATGGAGTTGTAAAGTGCCCCCCCCCCCCCCATGATCCCTTCCCCTCTCCCCTCTCCCCTTTTGTAGGAGCCTAGTCATGGCCAAACTCAAATGCAATGAAAGAATTTTCTCCAAGGGACATAGGTACAGCAAACTTGGGGCTTTTGAAATGCCCAGAACCTTTTATTTTAGTCCATGGTTTCTGCTCTATTGATCGAGCAGCTGTCTGCATTTCATGTTTGCTTAACAGATGATTTTGGCTGGGAAATGTTGGCTCATGTCTTAAGGTACATCAAATATCTTGTTGATTTGCCCCCAATTTTTCCTCCCCAGTTTTCCCCTCTCTATTTTAGAGTATACTTGTGTTTCTCGAAAGTTCTCTGAATCCTTTTACCTTTTCTTCCTTCCTTTGCTTCCCATAGTCTCTAGGTTTATAGAGCATAAACACATACGCATAGGATTTTTTTTTTTCCTTTTTCACAAAATGGAAAGATTCTTTCATATATTCGTTTTTGTTTGAGAAGGTTGTTGGTGTTTTTTTTATTTTGTTCTAGTTTCATGAACAACATTACCAGGTTAATAGGAAAGTTGTATAAATGATTATGTCATTATAATGGTATACCACACACACACACACATTTATATCACATACATATATCACATTCCATATGTACTTTTTGAATTATTAGAGATACTGTTTATAAGAATCTTACTTATTACATATCACACTTGAAACCACAAAAATCACAGCAGTTCCCCCTTTCTTTCCTCACTGGTTCCTACGGTACCAATTTCCAGACATAATGCCTGTTGACCATTTGGAATGCATCATTCCAGAGGGGCGTGTGTGTGTGTGTGTGTGTGTGTGTGGTGTGGTGTGTGTGGTGTGGTGTGTGTAGTGTGTGTGTATACATACATACAGACATTCTTGTAAGTCTTTAAAAGTAGTTATACAAAGGAGTTACGGTTTAACAAGTCAGTTTGTGAGCACAATGTGTCTTGATCGATGCCACCCCGTCAACATTCTCACTGGCTTCTCCCAACACAGCCCTTTCCTTATTTTTCTTAATTTTGTAGGAATCTTGAGTTTTTTTTTTTCTTAACTGCATTCCCCCCCCCCCCCCCGCCCCTCCATTGTTGGTCTCTGACTCCAAGAGAGCTCCGTGTCCCATAACCTGTAAACAGAGTCAGTAATTATGCATGTCTCACACCATCCCTCCAAGCTTGTCCTACCAAGACCACTTGAATTTCAGATCGGCACCTCTCCCGTGAAGGAGGATAAGGAGGCCTTTGCCATTGTTCCTGTGTCTCCCGCTGAAGTTCGGGACCTGGACTTTGCCAATGATGCCAGCAAGGTGCTGGGCTCCATTGCCGGGAAGCTGGAGAAGGGCACCATCACCCAGAATGAAAGACGGTGAGAGCCCCCTGCATGTGTCCCCTGCCCCCACTGTCCCCCAGAGCTCTTCATCTATGCATTTGAGCAATGCATTGCCGGGAGCACATGAGAGCGCAGCTCCACAGCACTCTGTGAGGTAGTGGGTCTGAGCACTCACGGTGTCCTCCACGGGAGCTGTCCAGACATTGAATATTTCCCTTTCTGTGTCTCACACAGTTCTGGAATTAACTTTAGTAAATGTTAGGAGTTAGAGATACTCTGGGAATACTTGATATGTAGAGAGTGATCATCCTGGATGGAAAATACTGTGTGATGTGTTTCCATCTTTGTAGTACTTGGCCTTAGTTGTGGATTTCAAGGAAAGTGGAAAGAGTGGATCATGTCCTGCTCCCTTGGTTGGCCTGAAGGCTTCCAGGGCGAAGCTTCGAGTATGTTGAATATTGAATACTGTCTCTTTTTTCCTCCCTAGGTCTGTAACGAAGCTGCTGGAGGACTTGGTTTACTTTGTCACTGGTGGAACTAACTCTGGCCAGGACGTGCTTGAAGTTGTCTTCTCCAAGCCCAACAGAGAACGGCAGAAGCTGATGAGGGAGCAGAACATTCTCAAACAGGTGGGTAAGACGTGATGTGGTGGGGGTGGGCTCGGGGGGGGGGGGTGGGGGGGATCCAAGAAATCACAGCTGCTCAAGGTACACAAGCCCTCCACCCAGAAGCCTTGACAATGGTGTTTAGGAATGGAACTTCTTTTTTCAGAGTTGTAAGTTTACAGCAGAATCAAAGGTTAAGTACAGACAGTTCCCTTCCTTCTTTTCCACTGTCAAAATCCTGAACTGTAGCAGAACAGATGCTACATCAGTGAGCCGGGGTGGACAGATTAGCATAACCTGAAGTCCTTGTCTGCTCTTGGTCTGGGACACGCAGATGGGTTTTGGTGAGTACATATCATGACGAGGAGCTTGTGGTGGACAGAACCACTCCCTTCATGTTGGTCAGGAAGCAGACAACAGAACTTGTTTTTATAACAAGGAAGTTCTGAATCCAGCAGTGAAGGAGTCCATTCGTCAGGTCAGAGCTCTCACAAACCACTCCCTCCCCCCTCAAGATACTGCTGTGTTGAGGACCAAGCTTTTCAAAACACAGGAGCATTGGAGACACATTGAAGATCCAAACTATCCCAGCTCCAACTCAAACAGGTGTAAAGAGGCGCGAAGTGACAGGCCCAGGGCAGAGGAAGTACGCAGAAATGCATACAGTAGACCCTTGCCATCTGACGGTCTGTACTTCTGCAGAGACCACTGCTGAGGAAAAACCCAGAATGTCCAGGATTTATTGAGTTCAGCACTGTGCTTATTCATTTTTCCCTCCCATAACATCACTCAACTCCTGCTAAAGACATGACGCTCTTCAACAAAGTTAAAGTTTGCACTCGAACCACATAAGCACTTCACAAATATCCCTTTTTAGTTTGGGAAGATTACCATAACTTGTATCACAGTTTTGTCTTTTGAGAAGCACATTTTCACAGTTAAGGGCAGGAGATCACAGAACCATATAAACACAGCTATTGATAAAATGTTATTTATTTATTTATTTTTACCACACTTGGTCAAAATCATGTGTCGTAAATCAAGGAATAAGATGAGCTTACTGTACCATACAGTTCTCTGTAGCTGTTAAGAGATTTAGCTACAGTTCTTGCCTTTAAAAATTCTTGGCTTGGAAAGTTGGCTCAGTGGTAGAGTACTTGCCTCACATGCATGAGGCCCTGGGATCGATTCCTCAGCACCACATAAGCAGAAAAAAGCCGGAAGTGGCACTGTGTAGGGTGCTAGCCTTGAGCTGAAGAGCTGAGGGACAGCGCCCAGGCCCAGAGTTCAGCCCCCACGACTGACCAGCAACAACAACAACAAAAAATTCTTGGCTCTGCCACTGTTAAAAGAGAAACAAGGCCTACATTCTCCATGGGAAGTTGGCATTTGTGACTCCTATTTCCTGTTAGCCTATGATATTCAAAATTCATGTTTCAACAAGGTTTTAAGGCCAAGAATAAATTGTGTCCAGCTGTTTCATGCATTGAGTCCAAATTAGGGCTCGACCTTAATGTCTGGGCCCATTCCTACAAGAGCAGTCACTTCCAGGGCTGGAGTTCCATGACTCAGTGTGAGCACCTTCCCTGATCACTTTCTTCAGGTATTGTACACATGCAACTTGGTTACAATTATTACGTGCTTTCATCCTTACAATATCTTTGATATAAATAATATTCTTTGTATTTTAGTGGTAATACACTGAAATTAACTTGGGCCATAATCTATACTAAGAAGGATTACATTTTTTTTAATCTTATTAGGATTATAGTCCAGGAGACACCAAAATCTAGCAGTCTTGAGAAAGCGCACTGAGGTTGTACACTCTCAAGTATAAAGCTTGAGGCTCTTCGTGTGGCTTTTTTTGTAGCTTAAACTGCAGAGTATTTGCCAGTTATAGGTGTTGGGAATTATGCTTACAATGGCCCAGGACAGCTGACCTGCAGGAAAGGGTTCAACAGAGTCTCAGGAAGCATGGAGGAATGGTTTCCAAACCGTCAGGAAGGAGCTGGTCAGCAGTTCTCAAGGTTGGCATGTACCTGGCGGGCATGTGCAGGCACTCAGCTCAGAAATGCCACAGTGGGCAAGTCTGAAGACCCAGCTTAACAGAGGTTTCCTACTCTGAGCTAAGGGCCTCTGATGCACGCGGCACACTTTTCCTCCCTGGAGGAAGAGGTTCAGGGCTGTGGTTCCATGCTGGCATCCGTTCCATCCTGTCTGCTCTTACTTGGTGCTGAGGACCATTCTGGGGACCACTTAGGTCCACATGGGTGGGATCGGCAGGGACCCAGTCCCACATGACTGACTGAAAACAGGTTCTTGCCAGTACTGTGTTTTGATAGTGATAATTTCCGGTGGACTCCAGCCACCTGTGTGGTGGTCTTTGCTCCTGATGGTCTTTGAGCCTGCAAGAGCCCCCATTGATGGCAGTCTTGCTGTTCCCACAGATCTTCAAGTTGCTGCAGGCCCCCTTCACAGACTGCGGGGACGGCCCCATGCTGCGGCTGGAGGAGCTAGGGGACCAGCGGCACGCTCCCTTCAGACATATCTGTCGCCTCTGCTACAGGGTCCTGAGGCACTCACAGCAAGACTACAGGAAGAACCAGGTGTGCATCAGAGTGGACAGGAAGTTCACGAGCTTTGCTCCTCAGCTCTCAGTGTCAAATGAACAGCGCAAGGTTGAGTGTGCTCCTGAGAAGGAATCACACGCTGGCGTGCAAGCCTGGGAGGAATACATACTAGACAACCCGTAAGGAAGATAACGAGAGAAACTCACATACACAAATCTTAGGGGCCAGTAAGAAAAGTAAAGACTAAGAATTCTCCCATTACCACAGCCACCTTTTTTATTTTCAAAATTGGTATTACATTACATTTTCCTTTTCTACCTCCTTGTACTAAGGTTTGAATCAAGTCCTTGCTTTCACGGAGCAAGCAAACTGTCATTCTTTCTTGGGCAAGAAAATACCTTTGGTTTTGCTTTTTGTTCTTGTAGTTTGTTTTGATCTTCATTTTTTTTGAACATGGAACCTTAGATATACTCACAAGTGCTAGACTACTGAACTACATCCCTAGCCAGGGAACGATCTTTGAATAGAAATCAACAATTCATAAGAGTTAAAAATTAATTTTGTGGGAATGTGATGTCTGATTCTAAAAGAGGGAAGCCTGAGATGAGTTCACATACTCCATTAAGTTTGGTGGATTGTCTTAGGTGTTCCTGATTTTTTCTGTTACTCACTGATTTTAAAGATGAATTTTTGCCCCAGAAAAAGAAAGCAAAACAAGTTTACATTATTCTGAATGTCCAGGTAGGTTTGATCTCTGTGTATTCAGCAGTGCAGTGGAGGAGGTACAATTAATAAATTCTCCTTGAAATAGCTTCATAATAGTTTCTGACCTTTTCAAAAACATAAGTCATCTGGATTAGAATTTGTCCTGTACGCTTAAAATATCCCCCCCCCCCCCCACACATCTGGATCATTGCTTAATCACATTTGGGTGGCAGGTGTAATCAAAATGCAGGCTGTGAGGTTGCATGCCAGCCTTGTCCTAGAGAGAGATAGACAACGGTCACTTGCCCCGTGGAGCTCTAGGCCTCCTTGGGGATGCTGTGCTTTCTGGTAGCTAACAAGGCTGTGCTGTCTTCCTGTCTTCCCTGGTGACTTTGCTCTACCTTGCAGGAGTACATAGCCAAGCAGTTTGGCTTCATGCAGAAGCAGATTGGCTATGATGTGCTGGCAGAAGACACTATCACGGCCCTGCTCCACAACAACCGGAAACTCCTGGAAAAGCACATCACCGCCGCAGAGATTGATACTTTTGTTAGTCTTGTGCGAAAGAACAGGGAGCCCAGGTGAGGTGCCCCTGGGGCCGATGGCAGTAAGACGCAGCAACTTGCTGGGCGCCGGTGGCGCACACCTGTCAGCCTAGCTACTCAGGAGGCTGAGATTGGAGAATCACAGTTCAAAGCCAGTCTGGGCAGGAAAGTCCGTAAGACTCTTATCTCCAGTGAACCACCAGAAAACCAGAAGTGGCACTGTGGCTCAGGTGGTCGAGTGCTTACCTTGAGCTGAAGAACTCAGGGACAGCACCCAGGCCCAGAGTTCAAGTTTCCACAACCACTGCCAACAAAAAAGATGTAGTAGGGCTGGGAATTTGGCTTAGTGGTAGAGTGCCTGCCTAGCATGCATGAAGCCCTGGGTTCAATTCCTCAGTACCACCTGCACAGAAAAAGCCGGAAGTGATGCTGTGGCTCAAGTGGTAGAGAGTAGAGTGCTGGCCTTGAGCAAAAGAAGCTCAGGGACAGTGCCCAGGCCCTGAGTTCAAGTCCCAGGACTGGCAAAAACACATACACACACAAAAAGATGTAGTAACTTAGCTGATCCTGGCACTTTCCAGGAGGCTCACTGGCCTTGGGGCTGCAGTGTGTGGCAGACTTTGATTAGCAGGCCTCATATAGCTCTTTGATGAGTAGAGGCAAAAAGACAGTCTAGGAACACGGCTCCTCCCCTCTGCTGAACATGGTCAGCCACTTGACAATAATAAACCTCTATGAAGTGCCTGGCACACACACATGCCCAGGAAATGACAACTGCTGTGGGCATTTATTCATTCCTTCACTCACTCGCTCTCTAGAATGTGTTCCCTGATGTCATCATTAAGAGTCTTTGGCAGACTAAGTTGTCACTTGAGGGTTTGATCTTGAGCTAGTCGCCCCCCCCCCCCCCCCCCCCCGCCTTCATGCCCTCCATGCATTTCCCCTCTTCTCCTCTTCTCTTTAATGGCCAAAGCACTTCAGGTGATGTGGGAAGCTGTTTGTAGCACAGTGTCCCGGGAGAGCAGATAGGGCTGCTGCAGCAATCACTGCTGCTGCCAGAATAAGCGGCCTTTCCTGGACTGCTCCCGCGCCAGGTGATGAGCCGAGGAATCAGTCATCTCAGCAGATCCCCCGGGCTGGTCCTCAGAAATCACACTGGCTCTTTTCTGTGTGTGAGAAACTGGAGCACAGATCCAAGTAACGTTCCCATCGAACACATCTAGCTCCAGCCTGGCCCTGAGCGCTCACTGAGGCTCCTCTCTACCATGTCTTCCTCTTTGACCTTCCCTGTCCTGCCCTTCCCTCTTGGTTTTGGTCCTGTCACCTCTTCATCTGCCACAGTCACTGCCAACTTCACTCTGTGCCTCTCTGGACCCTGGCATCAAAGCCTACAGTGTGCCTGACCTGTGTCACCCAAGGAGTATGGGCCTGTCTGCATGGGGAAGAGTCAGACCTCTCTCTGCTTGCTCTACTGAAGATACCTGGTTCCCTTCCCCTCTCTGGTAGGTTCTTAGATTACCTCTCCGACCTCTGTGTGTCCATGAACAAGTCAATTCCAGTGACACAGGAGCTGATCTGTAAAGCCGTGCTGAATCCCACCAATGCGGACATCCTCATTGAGACCAAGTGAGTGGGCCTGGGGACAAGAGGAGGCTGGCAGCGAGGAAGGGGTTTACCCAGTGAGTGGGCCTGGGGCGGGGGAGAGGAAGCCATGGTGAAGAAAGGCTGTAGGTGGAAGATGTAGTGTTCAGTGATGTTGGTGCTTGCAGGTGATAAAACCTAAGCCCTGTGTTTCTGAAAGGGAAGCTACATTTCTTTGTCTTTTGTTTGTGGGTTTGTTTGTTTAAAGGGGATGGGCCATCTTACTTGGTAGCTCAAGCGGGCCTCAAACTTGGGATCCTCTTGCCTCCACTTCCAGGCTGCTAGGATTAGACCATGTGCCTCTATCCTGTCTTCGGGGAAGCTAGATTTCAGAGGATCTCAAAAGCTGTGTTCTCTCTCCTCGTCCTCTCTAGGTTGGTTCTTTCTCGTTTTGAATTTGAAGGTGTTTCAACTGGAGAAAATGCTCTGGAGGCTGGAGAAGATGAGGAAGAGGTGTGGCTATTTTGGAGGGACAGCGACAAAGAAATTCGTAGTAAGAGTGTCAGGGAATTGGCCCAGGATGCTAAAGAAGGACAAAAAGAAGACCGAGATGTTCTCAGCTACTACAGGTGAGCGAGAGGCCCGCACTTGGGTTGGGCTGCCCCAGAGGCTGGCCCTCAGGAACATAACTGATTCGTTGTGGGTCATTATAAGGAATCACATGGCACCATTTGATAAGATTCTAACAACAACAACAAAAAAGATGTGTTGTGTGAGTTTAGAATATAAAATTCCACTGATTCTTAGCCCACTGATATCTGGGTGTATCTGCGTCATGAAAGAAAGAGGACCTGCAGCAGCCCCAGGTAGAGCTGCTTCATACATACTCAGATGGTTAAGAGTCACACTGCCAGCTGAGCACCAGTGGTTCATACATGTTGTTCTAATTACTCAGGATGCTGAGATCTGATCACAGTTTGAAGCCAGCTTGGGTGGGAAAGTCCAAATCTGTGACACTCTTATCTCCAATTAACCACCAGAAAACCAGAAGTGGTGTCATGGCTCCAAGTAATAGAGTGCTAGCCTTGAATGAAGGAGTTCAGGGACAGTGCCTAGCCCTGACTTCAAGCCCCAGTGACTGACCAAAAAAAAAAAAAAAAAGTTCAGGGACAGTGCTCAGGCTCTTGAATTCAAGTCCCTAGATTTGCATGTGTGTGCACACATGTACGCACACATACACACAAGTCAGACTGTTAGTTCACACTTTGTGGGTTCAAATCCTGACCTTTTTCTTTATGAAGTTTTGACTTTGGTCAAGTTTGATTTTACATTCCAGCTTCCTTAGTTGCAAAATAGAGGTGAAAACACCAGTCTTCTATAACACTTACAGTCAGAGCTAGACAGTGTCTGCTGGTACATGCCTATTTCTGTTTTGTTAACCTGTTTTTTTTTTCCCCGTTTGTACATACATCCATACAATTGGTACATACATTCATACAGTGTATACTGATACGGGTGAAACAACCCTAATCCGAAAGTCTGAAATTGAAACCCAAGACACCTGAGCCCTGACTCAACGCTCAAAATGTTTCTGAATTTAGAACATTTGGAATTTTTAGAACAAGGATGGTGGACTATGCAAATATTCAAAAATTCTCTAACTTTGGTCCCGAGCATTTCCGCCAGGCAGTGCTCAGCCTGTCCTTGCGACTTGATTTCAACACTGAAGGATTCTCTCTCCCCCCCCACCGGCTTCCACACATGGTGTAACTTCCCCCAGCTGCCTCGTACCCAGGGTGTTCACTTGTTGACTTGGGCCCACCATGTGTCACCAGTCTGCCTCTCCCAGTAATCTCCTCCATCCCAGTATCTTCCTGACCCCAGGTCTAAGACCTATTCCTTCTTCCCCCTGAAGGGAAAGGATAGAAAAGGAAAGAGCAATGTGAACCATTAGATTGTAGGGTAGTAAAGGGCAGTAAAATCACTGTTTCTAGCATTTTTAAATAAAATGAATACAAGTTTGCAGTTAAAAATGTCTTGCCTTCTGTATTTTGGTCTCTTACCTGATATTCCTACAGATGGTGTTCATCCCTGCAGTTTTCTTGGGTTTTTCTATTCTGTCTCATGTCTATTCAGTCATAAAGCATATATATTTTGTATTCTTAAATCTCTATACAAATAGCGCCCTACACTCTTTAAAGTACCGCTGAAGAGATAGAACTAGATATCCATGTAAGGTCTTAACTATTTTTCTTCCTATTTTGTACGATAAACAAGGGAAATTGAAATAGAAAGGACATAATTGCTTTAACACAGCTGGACACACATGTGACTATTGTCTGTCCACTTTTCTCTACAGCAGAGCACAATGTTTCCTCTAGCTCTGTTTGCATGTATTTAGTACAAAAGCTAAAATAAGTTATACAAGATTTGTTGCTAGGCCGGGAGCCGGTGGCTCACGCCTGTAATCCTAGCTACTCAGGAGGCTGTGATCTGAGGATCGCCGTTCAGAGCCAGCCCAGGCAGGAAAGTCTGTGAGACTCTTATCTCCAATAAACCACCAGAAAACTGGAAGTGGTGCTGTGACTCAAGCAGTAGAGCGCTCCCCTTGAGCTGAAGAGCTGAGGGACAGCGCCCAGGGCCAGAGTTCAAGCCATGACCGACTCAAAAAAAAAAAGGTATTGCTGTGCAGGTTCAGATGGCCAAGCATCACTCCTGGAAAAGCTGGTGCCTCCTGGACCACCATGCACACTCCGCACATCCTGAATGATTTCTGGAGTGAGAACTTGTCTATGATCGCTTTTCCTTTCCCAGGTATCAGCTGAACCTCTTTGCGAGGATGTGCCTGGACCGCCAGTACCTGGCCATCAATGAAATCTCAGGCCAGCTGGATGTGGACCTCATCCTTCGCTGCATGTCCGATGAGAACCTGCCCTATGACCTGAGGGCTTCCTTCTGCCGCCTCATGCTTCACATGCATGTGGACCGAGACCCCCAGGAACAGGTCACCCCTGTGAAATATGCCCGCCTCTGGTCGGAGATCCCCTCCGAGATTGCCATTGATGAGTAAGCTGACTGCTCCCTGTCACTAGCTCCTGACACTTTAAAGCTTCCCATTTACAGTGTTCTGTACAGCAGTAGGTAAACCATCCATGGTCTTGTGAAATCATACAATAATGATAAAGCTTTTTTTTTTTCTTTAAGCTTAAAATACGTGGTTGGCAAGTATTTCGTGTCTCAAGGAACTAAGAGTTGGGATCATTGCATTTTTTTCTTCCTGATTTTTAAAAAATTCTACACATATTTGAGTTTTTCTTGTGCCAACATGGAGAAATATGAGTGAACAGGCTAGAAAAACCATCTCCCTGCTAATCATTAGGCAGGAGGGTGGTGGAGACAGGCAATTTGATAAAGAAGATAAATGACTGAGATGTGTATGTACACATTAGGGAGGGAAAACGAAGTAGCATGCAGCTATGGCATTGTCTACTTCTGAGACTCTGTGTCCTGGCACAGCATCACTGAGAAGAACCTGACGTTCTGTTTCCCTGTCCCTGTCCTTTCCTTTCAGCTACGACAGTAGTGGTGCATCCAAAGATGAGATTAAGGAGAGGTTTGCGCAAACCATGGAGTTCGTGGAGGAGTATTTGAGAGACGTGGTTTGTCAGAGGTTCCCTTTTTCTGATAAGGAGAAAAATAAGCTCACGTTCGAGGTAACGCATGATGATAGATCCGGGTGTTTTGTCTGCTTTCCTGTGGTCATTTTTTCTGTGTGGTTAAGAGGAAGTATTTTTGGTGGGTGGATTTTTATCAGGAGGCTCTAGTTTTATACTGAACTAAGAATTGAGCTCAGAATAAAATAGCACTGCTACCAGACGCTTGGCTTAGGAGCAGTTAGGCTCATAAAAGAAAATACACAGGGTGGACTGAATCATGGGAAATGATAAAATATTATGTATGCTCTGTTATTAAAAGTGACAGGAGAGAAACAGATTGTGCTTGGGATCTGCCACATATGAATCATTTGAGGACTGTCAGTCCTTACCACCTCTGGGTTGAATGTTTCTGAGGCCACATTGGCCTCCTTTTAGGAATTATATTCCTGAGGGTTGCAGTGTTGTTTATCTGCGTGTGCCCTTGTTAGGTATTATTGGGGTCACCCAGTGTTCTCCGTGGGAAGCTGGGCCTGTTAAGTGATTAGGTCAAGTTTTTATTAACTGGTCACAAGAGCAGATGGTAGCTTTGCCGGCTTTTATGTCTCAATTTTTTTTCTTCCCCTGAAACAAAATGAAATTTGTATCAGAAATGGCAAGCTGCATCTATGCCTTTCCTTCCGCTATAGGAAGTCACCATCTGTTGTTTTATTATCTCGTCAATGTCAGGTCAGACAGAGGAGCGCAGATGACTTAATACCATCTTCTTTGTAAAACACAACAGGTTGTAAACTTAGCCAGGAATCTCATATACTTTGGTTTCTACAACTTCTCTGACCTCCTACGGTTAACCAAGATCCTCCTGGCCATATTAGATTGTGTGCATGTGACAACAATCTTCCCCATTACCAAGATTGTGAAAGGAGAAGAGAATAAAGGTAACAATGATGAGGAGAAGCTCAAGAGTGAGTATCTGATGGAAGAGAGACGCCCTCCTAGCCTTTCTCGTTAACTCTCCTGTCCTATCCGCCATGTGATAGCCTGTCTTGTCCTTGCCTTTCCTTCCCACCTCTTCATTATGATGCATCAGACAGAAAGAAAAGCTGAACACACAGCTCCATAGACTCACAATACTCATGACATTGCGTCCATGATCATTAGCACTTGGCTGTCTTTCCCCTTGTCTGTGGGTCTGTGTGTATATTGTTATTGAGTCATTTGAAAGTTACCTAACAGTTTGAGTGTTCATCTTCTTTTTAAAAATGTCATTGTTGGGCTGGGATGTAGCTCAGTGGCAAAGCACTTGCCTAGCAAGTTCAATGTCCTAGGTTCGATCCCCAGTACCAAAAAAGAAAAGACCCCAAAAAAAAATGTCATTGTTTCTGATGTTGATAAAAGTCTTGATGATAATGTGCTTTATAATGTATAAAGTAAAATAAGGCTCAGGCTTATATTTTGGTATCTGGTTTTACTTTGTGAGAAGAAAACCTATCTTTATATGCTTATTTCCCCTGATGTTTTAGAGTCAGAGTAGTAAGCACATAGTAGATAGGTATCTTGTTCTTTAATTTGTGTTATGCAGCTAGAATAGAAAAAATGGTATTTTTCACCTCTCACTATTTGCGAAGTCCTGTGTTATGCCATTTTGAGTGTATTATGCCAGTGAATCCAGTCCTGGAGGTGCTTTTTTGTGACAAGGCCGAGCCTCGAAGGTAATTTAGTGTACCTAAGAACAGGCAGCTGTCGGTAGCAGTACCAGGATCTGTGCCTTATCAACCCTTCTAATCCTTATTCCTGTGCATAATATCAAGCAATGATAGGTAGCCATTAAAACTTAGCAGGTGAATTAATACACAAAATAATTCCTTTGGGATAGTCAAAAACCCATATTGTTTCTGCCCCCTTCACAAGCGTGAAAGCTTTAATGGGTGTGACCTTTTCTGGTTCCTTGGGTCTGAGCGTGTTAACAGAATGGGAAAGTGTTAAATATTGTCTTGACCTCGATGCTCCGAGCACTCTCAAGAGGGTCTGACCTGTGTCTGTGCTGTGCCCTTCCAGGCAGCAACGTGATGAGGTCTATTCACGGTGTCGGCGAGCTGATGACTCAGGTGGTGCTCCGGGGAGGAGGCTTTTTGCCTATGACTCCCATGGCTGCCGCCCCTGAAGGCAACGTGAAGCAGGCGGAGCCCGAGAAAGAGGACATCATGGTCATGGATACCAAACTGAAGATCATTGAAATTCTCCAGGTAGGGGGGCGGGGCGGGGCGGGGCAGGCACTCATGCCGCACTGGTCACCTCCCTTCTGTCCTCTCTGAGAGAGAGCAAAGCTTTCTGGGGAAGAAAATTGTAGCAAAGGTTTTGGCTCATCACTTCCTATCATTTATGAACTGCCTTATCTTAATCCCTTTGCTGCCATCTCCTGCGCCTCCCTAAGGAGGCCTTGCCCCTTCTTCTATACCAGAGCTTCCTGTAGTTACCTGAGCTTTTCATCCTCATTGCCCTCCCTGCCTCGGTCCTTGCTATCATCTTTGCTTTGAATTCACTCGCCCCGTGTTCTCCAGGGGAGCTGAATCCCGTGTCTGTAGTTCCTTGCTCAGTTCAGGTTCCATTGGCTTTGCAAAGTCTTCCCCTCCCCCTTTTCATTCATCACTTCTGGAGGTCATGTGGTCACAAGTCCCTGTAAGCCCTGAGGAGCCAGCAGTAGAGAAAGTTGTAGGGATGGGAGGCCAGCGTTTTAAAGAGCAATGGTAAGAGCTGTTAAAATCTAAAGTGTCAGGATGGTTCAGGGGCAAGAAGGCCGAGATAATGCTTCCTGATTGGGGGAAGGTTTATTAGCAAAGGCCTCTTGTGTAAGGTGACATGATCAGAGACTTAAATGAATAAGGAGCTGGCTATGTTGATTTCCAGAAGAGTCTCAGGTTAGAGGAACAGCAAATGCAGAGTTAGATTTGGGGGCAAGGTTGGGAACAGTGTGGGTTCAAAGGGAATGGGAGAAAATGAATATAATACTTTTGCACGTTAGACCACTTAAAGCAGAAATTGCTGCACAAAACCTACAATGTAGCATGGAAAAATCTTTCCACTAAGGGGCAGAGAACTTTGCTGAGGAATAAATCACCTAGAGCAGAAGGAGAAGAGCACCACCTAGCGGAAGCTTTCCCCATAGTCTCCGGCTCCCCACCAGACAGCACAAGAACTTGGCTCTCTTAGGATTATTCTCTGTCCTGTTTCAACAAGTTTTTCTTCTTTACACAATTGCTTCTATTTGCCATGCAAAAATGCTGTAACCTCACAGAGACACATGGCAAAAATGAACGCTCAGCAGTGGTTCCCTACCCATCTTCCCACTCCTCTAGGCATCTTTACAGCCAGTTCACCAAAAAGTGCTATAAGCATTCACTCTGCTTGCCATCTCGGACTCCTTTAACCCTTTCAAGTTGACACCTAGATGTAGACATCACCATTCTGCATAATGCTGATTTTGAGACTTGGGAAGAAACCATAGATTCAATAGTCAGGTCAGCCATGTGTTCTAGTCTGGAAAAAGTGACTCCTAAGATTGGGGAAGGTTGCTGAGCAGGCTTGGGGGAAGCAAGGAGAGAAGAAGGAAGGGAGGAAGGAAGGAAAGAAAAGAGAAGAAGGGAGGAAGGGAGGGAGGGTCCTTAAATGGTGCCATCTGGTTGCTGTGTCTGTGGCCCTGGTAACGCTGGTAGGGACAGTGACTCGGCTGGACTATAGAAGGAAAGAACCAGAAGCCCAGGGCCGTGCCTAAATCAGAACAGACAGCAAGAAGCATATTGAAAACATTAAACCAACCTCATTCACAGTTGTAAACAAAATTTCTTTTTGTCAGGTCTAAATTTAAAGCAGTCAGCTTCGTTCCTTGAGCCAACTTGTGTTGGGTACGGGTAGGCATTTAATCCTTGCTGAAATGAAGTTTTATTTCTTGGAGGGTGGGACAGAGAGTGAGTAATGCCCGATTCCCATTGTTAAGTTAAGTGGCAAACTACTGAAGTTGACACGAGAGCTGAAGGTGCTGTGGGCTGGCTTGATAGGCCCCCACGGAAGTCTGCTGGCATTAAAATGACTGTTGAAATCTAAGCCAAATATTTGGCTCGGTTGGTGCTTAATGTAATTGATGCAGCTGATACCAGGCCTCACCAGAGTGCAGTGGCTTGGCTTGGCAAAGCGTCAAAGGTGGTATGTTAATGTAACCAATCTGTTTCCATTTCCACTTGAATCTTCAGTTTATTTTGAATGTGAGATTGGATTATAGGATCTCCTGCCTCCTGTGTATATTTAAACGAGAGTTTGATGAAAGCAATTCCCAGACTTCAGAAACGTCCTCCGGAAATAGCAGCCAAGAAGGGCCAAGTAGTGTACCAGGTTAGTGAATGCAGAATGAAATTGCAGTCATGGAGTGGGGCCTGGGTATAAAGAAAACTGGGGAACCCAAATAGCCTTCCAGGGGTGTGAAGCATCCGACTGCCCGTGAACCTTCTGTGACCTGCAAAACCATTTGGCGCATGACGGGACAGGCACATAAACTTCTCATTGGCTGCCCACTGCCTGGCTACCTGTGTTGATAATTCTGTATGGTTCCTAGTGATGTTATAAATACCCAAATGGCCTTCGGCAGGAAACGAGGCTCTCCACCTGAAAATAGTAAAAGGTGAATGAGTTTTGTGTTTTGTTTTTGTTGGCCATGGGGCTTGAACTCTGGGCCTGGGCACTATCCTTGAGCTCTTCAGCTCAAGGTTTTCTGGAAGGTAAGAGTCTCACGGACTTTCCTGCCTGGGATGGCTTTGAACTGTGATCCTCAGGTCTCAGCCTCCTGAGTAGCTAGAATTGCAGGCATGAGCCATCGGTGCCCAGCTAGTGAATATGTTTTGAGGATAATTGTATTTTATTTTTCTTAATTTTTTAAGAGTTATTATAAAGGTGATGATAGAGGGGTTATAGGTACATAAGTCAAGTAATGAGTACATTTCTTTTTGGATAGTATGGCTCTTCGATCACTATCTTAGTTTTTGCCTCCCGTTCCCACCCACAAATTGTATAGTTCATTTTCAACATAGTGTCTAGCGAGTACCACTGCTGGGTTACTGTATTTTAAGGACAGGATCTTGAGACTTGGGGCAGGAGAAGATTGGGACAATTGTAGATTGCTGCCAGGAGAGATCTTACTGCCTCAGGTCTTGGATACTTAAACGGCTGAGGTTTCTAGTATTGTGGTTACCCACAAAGTCCCCATGAAAACAAGCAAAATGACAAAGACTCTCCAGGAGACTTCATGAGCAACTTTTTACTCATGCTGGAAGTTTCTTCCTCCCTAGAAAATAGTGGAGAAGGGTAAGAGGAAGGGTAATGGTAGAATTAACCCCTCTACAGAGCCCCAGGCTTCCTCTGAAGGAAGTTGTCGCTGTGATTAGGAAGGGGAAAAATGGCGGGAGGGTGGGACATTGAACGGCATCACCTGGCTACCCAGGCCTGGAGCCTTGCTGTGTATGGTTCTGGAGGACTTGGGGCTAGCCCCGCAGCTTCGCCCTGACAAGACTTGGAGCGCATTCACCACAGCTTGTTTTCAGACCTTACCGTATTAAAGCTATGTTCTCTCACTTTTCAGGTGCTCTAGACTTTGAACACATTGAAGAACAAGCGGAAGGCATCTTTGGAGGGAGGAAAGTTTACTTTCAGTTACTGTCTTGTAAGGGGTTCTGTGATGTAGGAGTGGCTCTTCTAGAATTTTCTAAGGCTTCTCCTTGACCTTATTAGCAACTCTTTGGAGTGGACTGAAGAGTGTGGTGTGCGTGTGTGTGTGTGTGTGTGTGTGTGTGTGTGTGTGTGTGTGTATTTCCTGCCCAGATCAGGAAGGATTGAAAGATGTGGCTCAGGATTACAAAGTTATTTTTTAAGTAGTGAGGAAATAGGGACAAAAGAAAGAAATGGGAGGCAGGAGGCAAAAAAAACCCAGTTAAGTAGCATCTTACCCTTCTTACCTGGTAGGCTGCAGTTTATCCTTTATCCCTGCACTCTTTACAAGCTATGAAAAGAAGAAAACACAGTTTTCTTTTTGTTTGTCCTTCCTAGTAGGAACCCCTTTTTAAAATGTCACAGTCCTCAACTTTAACTTATACTATCATTATTATGATTATTGTGAACTCCAGTACCTATAAACATAAAACTTGGTATGACTACTCTATAGTGCTTATAATTAATGTGCTTGGCTTGATTATCTACTGTATCTTTCGCCCAAAGAACGTCAAGAAATTGAAGCTGAAAGCATTGATTGCCTCTCACACTTTCCAGGGCTGAGTAGGGCTAAGCCAGGTGATTCTTCTGGTTTTTGTGTTAGTTGTGCAGGTCTCATGAGGTCGTTTCTGGAGTTCATTCGCACATCCAGGTTGTTTTACTCCCCTTTCTGGCACCTGTGTAGGATGTTTGCAAGGTTTGAATCTCATTACCCTCTGCCCTCATGGATAGCTTAGCTTCTTTGCAGCCTGGTGACTTAATTCTAAGAGCAGATGTTCCAAAATGACAAGCCACAAGGGTGCAAGCAGTAGTTACACCCTGCTTGCATTGTCTTTACCAATGTGCTGTTGACCAAAGCAGTTCTTCGTGAGGGGAACGATGCAAAGGCCCCATTTGTTGGGACCACTCATGTTAACAATTCATCTCTGCGGTTAATACAAAACATATGAAATAGGAATTAACAGTTTTTGATAAGATGTAGAGTGTGTGTGTGTGTGTGTGTGTGTGTGTGTGTAGTATATGGTTTGAACTCAGGCCTGTTTGCTTGCCAAGCAACCATTACCACTTGAGATAATACCCGCAGCCCTTTTGCTTTAGTTTTTTTTTTTTTTTCTAATAGAGTCTCACTTTTTATCTGGGCTGTCTTGAACCACCATCCTTCTCTATAATTTCTCTAAAACCATTCTGCCTAGCTTTTTATTGGTTAAGATCGAGTCTCACACACTTTTGATTTTTTGCTTGACCTATTCTTGAACTGTGACCCTCCTGTCTCCACTCCTAAGTAGCTGGGATTGAAGGTGTGTGCCACCTTACCTGGGCAGGTGTGTGGCCATTTTGCATTGCCACTCAGCCCAGTGTCTGATCAGTGAGTTTACCATAAACTGAGATCTCTAACAGCTAGCAATTAAAAGTCTTATCTCTATGGATGAACATTGAGTTTACAGTGTCTTCAGTACACAATTAAATAGGAAATCACATCCATTTTCATTTCTCTGAAGGAGAACACTGTAGTCTATACTAGAGTCTAGGTGTTGAGTTCCAGATTGTAATACCAGTTTTGTCAGTTTAGGAGTATAAGGACGTTTGTTTAAAATTTGGCAATTAGAGCTTCTTAATTGTCCCTTTCACTCACAATATAATTGAAGATAAATCGAGGCTGTGAAAAGAGCTGATGAAAAGTGAAGTCTCATGAAATGGACCAAAGTGTTAGACTCTAGCTTGGGTATGGCAGGGCCTGTGTGGGTGCGCGTGTGCGTGTGCGTGTGTGTGTGTGTGTGTGTGTGTGTGTGTGTGTGTGTACACGCTCGCGCGTGCGCATGTGTGCGTGTGCCCGTGTGTGAGTGAATGAGACATCTGCAATTCATCTGTCCTATCCCCTTCCCCTGTGCTCCGGCAGTGAGGAGAACACCCCGCTGGACTTGGACGATCACGGTGGCAGGACCTTCCTCCGCGTCCTCCTGCACTTGACGATGCACGACTACCCACCCCTGGTGTCTGGGGCCCTGCAGCTCCTCTTTCGGCACTTCAGTCAGAGGCAGGAGGTCCTCCAGGCCTTCAAACAGGTGGGTCCCGTGCTAGACACATTCATGCCACTGCAGTTCGCACCTGACAGCTAGCACTCCTTAAAAACCTCCAGCTAACGGATTGTGTTCACTAAGGTCCAACTGCTGGTTACGAGCCAAGACGTGGACAACTACAAACAAATCAAACAGGACTTGGATCAGCTGCGGTCCATTGTGGAGAAGTCAGAGCTCTGGGTGTACAAAGGTCAGGGCCCCGACGAGCCCATGGAGGGTGCCTCTGGTGAAAACGAGCACAAGAAAGCCGAGGTGAGCCAAACGCGCGAGCGAGGCTGCCCCGGGGTGGACAGGCGTCTCGAAACAAACTTCCTTTTCAGTTTTTAGTCTGATTAAGTGCAGTTTATCGGATAGGTTTCTTTTTTTCCTTTTTTTCCCCCCTTACGAGACTGCTTATGAAGTAGTGAGGGAGACAGATATTCTCATGGAGAGTAAACTACTAATTTAAAGTCTAGCCCTGTTTCTGGGCTGCCCTGGACCACGTAGAGGAGACTTGGCTATGGAGTGAATTAGCACCAGGTTTCCTCACACAGCTGCCGGGAGATGTTCCCTGGCGATGGCCTGGCCAGGCCAGGGGAGCTAAGTGTAAGCAGATGTCCTGGTATGAGTAGTGTTTTCCAACGCAAAGGTTGGGAACCAGTGCAGAACTCCCATTCTTCAAGGGTGGTACTGACCGTAGCAATCCAATAGTAGACCAAGAGTTGTCCAAATCACATCTCTGTCCATTTTGGTCCCTAGGAGGGGAATAACAAGTCACAGAAGCACGAAAGCACCAGCAGCTACAACTACAGAGTGGTGAAAGAGGTAAGTGCTCCCCTCCCTGTTTTCCTTCCTTACTGATTCTCTAAGGAGCTTTAATTTGTGGTTAGGCAAGTGAAGGGCACAAACACTTTAGCTTTTTTCTTCATGTTAAAGTGAACAGGGAGAAAGTAGTGCTCTTAGTTTGAGTGTGACATGGGTTCTTACATTTGTCCAAACATGAAACCCAGCTGCGCTACTTAATAATTTGTGGGCCCTCAGTTCCTCCCTTTTATAGGTGAAGTCTTTTTATAGGTACCACCTGTTTCTAAAGCATTGCAGTAGAATGAAGGATTAACTGATAAAATTGCCAAGGGTTTGTCTCCATGCTTGACTTTAGACATCTTTGCAAAAGGAGTTTGAAGATGCGCAGCAGAGCTTTGTATTTTTGTGTTTTTACCTTACAGCAAGGCTATCTACAGGTGTTAGTATTGATGCCCACTCATATAAGTGTGTATGTGTGTGTGTGTTGGTACTGGCACTTTAATTTGGGGCCTGGGTGCTGTTCCTTAGCTTTTCTAGTTCAGCTTGGTACTCTACCATTTGAGCTACAGCCACACTTCTGGCTTTTTTGGGGTGGTTAATTGGAGATGAGTCTCTTGGACTTTCCTTTCCACACTGACTTCAACTTGTGATCCTCAGATCTCAGCTTCCTGAGTAGCATTACAGATGTTGAGCTATTTGGTGCTTGGCTCAGCTCATTTGATTTTAAGTGATCTATGAATTTCTCCCATTTGTTGGCAAAGCATGATCTCCTGCTTATTCTGCAATATGCAGTGTTCGTCTAACATGGATTTGATTTATTGCAACCAAGAGCAATACTGCATATTGGAGGAATTTCCTTGTTTTAGTCTTTAATGTCTTATGATCCTTACCCTGCGATCTCTTTCCCGGCTATCTAGTTCCTACTTTTCTGAGGTCAATTTCTTTTCCCCAGATTCTGATTCGACTTAGCAAACTCTGTGTCCAAGAGAGCGCCTCGGTGAGGAAGAGCAGAAAGCAGCAGCAGCGGCTGCTGCGGAACATGGGTGCACACGCCGTGGTGTTGGAGCTGCTGCAGATCCCCTACGAGAAGGTGCGCGGCAGCTCCCTGGAGCATCAAGGCTCAAAGCCCATGCCTGTCATGCTTAGTTACTGAGGGGGAGGCATACAGCTGACGTAACTGTTGTAGCCATAAAGCAATTCAGGTAATTTGTGTGACACACACGTACACACACACACACACATGCACACATGCACCAATTTAAAGATTCCACAAAGAAAGAGGAATCCGTTTTTCCTTCCTCACTCTCAAGCTTGCCAGATAAACGATAGCTTGGTCTGCATCACAGGTCAGAGCTGTACCTGCAAATAGCAGTGCTATTTGGCAGCCCTGAAGACCAAGCTAAGAACCACGCGTTACTCAGTGTGTCTGCAAGCGTGGATTGTGCATTCCCAAGGGCCACATGAGTACACTGATGTCTGGGTATTTGAACCTATCAGGCGGCGCTTTGCTTAGGGTCTCTTTTTGGGCTGCTAGAAGTTACACTTTGCCTCCCATGTTTCACACTGTCCTCTGTAGTTGGTGGTAAAAATTGTATTTGGGGGGGCAGGAGCCAGTCTACTCAGGCATCTGCGTCAACTGACAAAGCCTGGTGAAAGCATGCAGTCAAGCGGCAAAACCCAGGGAGGATTTGTGTTCTGCCACTTGACAGATGAGGAGACTGAGGCCAGTACAGGCTTGGAGTCCGTGGGCTTAGACTCAGGCGGACTTGTCACAAGCATTTCCTGAACAAACTCACTGGTGGCTGGCATGGTGCTCAGCCTTTTCTCCTTAATTCATGTCATCCTGCTGACTTAGAGCTGAGCAGTTGAGGTGGTAATGTCATCATCAGTGGAAAACCATGACTAGGGTGATTCGTGACACAGCTATAGGTAGTGGGTGCTACCCTACTCCACCCTGGTGCCTCTTATCTCAGGAGTTCTATGCAAAGAAGCTTCCTCCTCAGTTGTGGGGTACATATGATTCGAGTGAGTCAGGTCTTTCAGACAGCCACAGGCTTGACCCTGCTAATAGGTCAGGCATGTAGCCAACTTACAGTTAATGTGGTGTGCAGGTCACCCAAAGTTTTGGACTAAGTTGATCTTCTTACATGTAGAGAATAAGGAGATACTTGCTGACTGTAGCTTGGTCTTGTTCTGTCGTCAGTTTTCTGACTGAGCAGTGTTAATGTACACTGATAGTTCAAGGGCAGGATGATGTGTGTGCATGCGTATGTACATGCACAGAGGCTCACATACTATAAATAGGAGCCAAAGCCAGTTTAGTGCTCGCTTTTATCCAGCTCGGAATGGCTGTTACATTTTGAAATAGTTACACTAGTATGGAAGAATGTATTTATTGTTTTTATTTCTTGACACACCCAGCCTAAAACACTATCTTGCCCGGTAAGAAGTTGACTGCTGTCAGTCTAGATCAGAACCAATTGCTTGCCTGTACTCCATAAGCATTGTCTAAGCATTCCACTTTTCTCAGCTGGTATAGCAATCGTGTCAGATGTGTGCTTTATCATCTCCGTGTACAGATGGGGAAGTGGATGGTGGTTCCCAGGCACACAGCTAGGAAGTTGTCCACGTGGGAGGAAAGTGGGCTTGGGGACCTATGGCTCCTCCCTGCCACTTTCTTCCCTGCCCCAGTGCTGCCTGCGGCTGAGGCGATGGACGGAGGTGTCTTAGGACCCTTGTGAGCGGAAGGGCCAGGTGGGGTCATCTGCAATCATGGCGTTCTTTCTTGCTCTGTTTTTCCAATCTGAAATGTTGGCATATTTAGAATTGGGCGGAGTGGCCATAGGTTTTATACCGCCGCCTTGTGACAAGATGTTTAACTCTTCACACAATACTGAAAAAATTTAATATATGAAATGCTTCTAATCTCTGTAACAAAAATCCCATGTTTTCAAGTGTGGAGTACCTGGACAGCTGTTATATCCATCATGTTGGTAGGAAAACTAAATCTTTGGTTTAAATAAGTCCTGAGGTGACAGGGAAAGGAGATGGCAGGTGCACTCGCTGTGGTTCATAATCAAAGGACTTTTCCAGTAGGTCAGGGCCGTTGACAAGGTGAGCCTGAAAACTGGGGAGTGAGGCCTTGCATCAGGTAGGAGGAGGGCTCTGCTTTGCTGTCAGCCATCTCTGTGAGTGTCAGCGATTGCTGGACAGTGCATTCTAGCACCTGAGTTTGCACGCAGCATCCCTGGTACACACTGCCCAGATCCCCTGCTAGCAGCTGTTGGCATGGAGCAGGAACTCCTGTCCTGACCTAGCAATCAGTGCTGTTCATCTCTGTCCTCCCGCACAGGCCGAAGACACCAAGATGCAGGAGATAATGAGGCTGGCTCACGAGTTTTTACAGAATTTCTGCGCGGGCAACCAGCAGAATCAAGCTTTGCTGCATAAACACATCAACCTGTTTCTCAACCCAGGGGTAAGGCAGTGTGTGTTGGTGAACCTGTATAGGGAGGATGTGGAGGATCGGTGTGTTCTGCTGCCTTCTGGGACTTGTCACAGTACAGTCCTTTCCAAAGCGGGGAACATTGTGCCTGGCTGCCAGGAGGTTGTAAATACTCCCCACCCTTGGAGTAGGGGGATGGAGGCTGGGGAGGAAGGAGCACGTGATGGGCAAAATAAGATAACATTTCTCTCTCTTTTTTTCCCCTAATAAGCATCTCTCTCTTTTTTTTATTTGGTCAGTCGTGGGGCTTGAACTCTGGGCTTGGGCGCTGTCCCTGCGCTCTTCAGCTCAAGGCGAGCGCTCTATCACGAGCCACAGTGCCACTTCTGGTTTTCTAGTGTTAATTGGAGATAAAAGTCGCACGACCTTTCCTGCCTGGGCTGGCTTTGAACTCTGATCCTCAGATCTCAGCCTCCTGAGCAGCTAGGATTACAGGCGTGAGCCACCAGCCCCCAGCTTTAGCATCTCTTATTGTACTAAGGAAAGCAAAAGAGAATTGCTAAGAAGTCTTATCACCTCATCAAGTATATAATACATACAGCAGCATATCTGTGTTACACATTTGAGCAAAATAGTGCCCCACTTTATATTATACAGGATTTTTTTTCATTTAGCATGTTATTGGATGCCTTTGCAAATCAGAAATAATTTTTTTCTTGCTCTTTTCAGTGGCTAAATGGCATTGAATAAAGTGGATGTGACTTTTTTAAAAACTATCCCCATATGAGTAGCTAATGTTCAGTTTGGGGGCTTTGTAAATAATAACAGCAGAGTACATCTTTATACATGCATACATGCATTCATGAGCAGTAATGATGCCTTTCAGAAAAAGGACTGCTGGTTGGTAGGGTAATACTACATCTTGGTTGTAATTTTAATTATATTTTCATTGTTTTTAGTTTTACCAAAGGGTTTCATTCAGCATGTCAGTTTATGAGCATGATGCATCTTGGCAAGAAAAGGAAAAAAGTAAAGATTGAAGCCCCTACTCCCACCAAACATTAAAACTCAGTAGGCCTCAGAAACTTTGGTTAAAAATGAAAAATAAAGTCCCTGAAGCACAAGAATTTCTTCATGACTGTGTAGTAATAGCAAGCACACTGTGCAAACAGCCCTGATTTTAAAGGAACACACGTTTCTTCATCAGATGTCATCATGAGAGCATCCAGAGGCATTTCCATTGAATGTGTCCATAAATAACTCATTGTTTAATTTTAAATTTTAAAATTTTAAAAAAATTAAAAATTCAATAGCAGAAAAAGACAGCTCATTTCTACAAGTGGACAGAAAAACTTAGACACTCCTTCATAGAGAATATCCACATGGCCGGTTCACATGACAGGGCGCACATACAGTCAGCCATGAGCTGAATGCAAGTGTCGTACATGTGCGTGATAAATTCCCACTAAAGTTCAAAAGACCCACAGTAACAAGATACAGAATTGTAGCTGTTGGTAGAATGTAGACCTAACATTTCTAAAACTGTTTGGCATACTTAACATTAATACTTAAACCCCCCAAGTCCATTCTTGAGTCTAAATCCAGTGTACACAAATGTGTATATTGTTGACTAGAAGATACAGACAGAAAGTCTGGAGCAGCACTGTCAGTACCATTGTAAGATGAATACCATCAGTAGGTGTTAACGCGGGGTCCTCCCCCAGGGGCCCATCCGAAATGGAATAGATGATACCCATGCAGCAAAACAAAACAACATCCTGATGAGGGCCAGTGCCCTGTGTTCACGGACAAGCCAAACTGACCTGTGGTTATAGTGAAACAGTGGCATGGGGTATAAAGGAGGCCTATACTGTTTCCTGATCTGGGTGCTGAGGTTTCCTTGGTAGTCCATTGAGCTATTTGTTTGTTTTACTGTTTACTAAAACAGAAGATAGTACAAATGTGAGAATGCAGCCTCCGTGTATGCATGTGTGCGTGCGTGCGTGCAGGTGTGTGTGTGTGCAATGGGCTATTCTTTCCCTCCTTTTCTAATCTGCCCCAGCCCCATTTTGAGCATTCCCCTCTGCTCTTGCCTTTGTGTCGTGCCAGATCCTGGAGGCCGTGACAATGCAGCACATCTTCATGAACAACTTCCAGCTTTGCAGCGAGATCAACGAGCGAGTGGTTCAGCACTTTGTCCACTGCATCGAGACCCACGGGCGGAACGTCCAATATATAAAGTTCTTGCAGACAATTGTCAAGGCGGAAGGGAAATTCATTAAGAAGTGCCAAGACATGGTCATGGCTGAGGTGACCGTAACCTCTTTCCTACAACCTCCACCTGGGGTTCTGTGGGAATTGAAAATTATTTAATCTTCTCGGTAGGAAGGGGCATCTCTGCTGTATGGGAAGGTAGAATGTAATTGTGTCTATAATTTCCTACTTGTGGGCTTAGGCAGGCGGCTGATCTGATTTTCCTGAGCAATAAATCTTATAAGGACCCTCGCTTTGGATTCTTCTCAGAAGGAAAAAGGAAGAGAAACAGTGTACCCAAATGGACTAGATGTGGTTAGTGCTCAGTCAGCTAGAACAGGGCTCCTTCTTGTGAATGGGGACTTCTTTAATTACTAACTCCAAGTTGTTTCACGTGTTGATTCTCATGAGGAGCCAACTGGTGTGTAGAATCAATGCAGTTTTATGTGGTTCTTTTTGGATCCTGGTGGATTTTTGTCTTCGATCAGAAAGGCCCACCCTGTCAGTCAGGACAGAATGGCTTCCACACATATTTAGTCCTTCTGCCTTTTCACAAAGGAAGTCTCCAATGAGCTCACGATACTTAGATCTGTAATCCCACTCACCAGTGTGATTCCAGCAGCAGTCCTGCAGTGTGATTTTGAGTTGGTCCCACCCTAGGATATGAATGCTGGCAGTGCAGACATCTCAGACCCTCAGTGAAGCATTTCTGTAAATGAATATGCAGCAGAAATTAATGTGCATTAAGTGAAATAATGAAGGTGAGAATAGCTAACACTACTGGAAGCTTACGGTACTATTCAGAACAGTCTGAATGTAAAATCATTTCAGCGTCAGAGGTTATATTTGTCCACATCTCTATGGAGAAACTGAGACACAACGAGTTTGGGTCTCCTGCTGAAAGTGTATTTTTGGTATTTGGCATTTACTTAATCAGAGCTCATGCAAGTCAGTTGTTAATAAGTAATATTGACCGTGTTCATTTTGACTTTTGTGCCAGCTTTAAACAAAAACCTGTATTTTATGTGGTGCTGAAATTGATATATATTTATTAGAAGATACCTCAATTTGGTGACACATTATCAACTGAAATGATTTGACTTTTATTTTTTTTTTATCAGTACTAGGGCTTGAACTCAGGTCTTGGACCAGAGCTTTTATGTTCAAGGCTAGCATTCTACCACTGGAGCCACAGTGCCACTTCTATTGCTTTTTGGTAGTTAATTGGAAACAAAAGTCTCACAGTTTTGCACCTGTGGGTTAAAATGATAATGTTTAGGGCTTTTTGGTCCATCAGCCCTATAAATGAGTGACATCTAGATGAGTTGAGGAATATAGTAAGACTGGTTTGGGAAGACAAATGCCAAGGCCCTCATCTTTCTCTGCACATAGAATTGTATAAGGCTACTGCCACTGTGCTGAGCTCGACATACCAACACGCTCTGTTCTTTCTGCAGCTGGTCAATTCAGGAGAGGACGTCCTGGTGTTCTACAACGACAGAGCCTCTTTCCAGACGCTCATCCAGATGATGCGGTCCGAGCGGGACCGGATGGATGAGAACAGCCCCCTCATGTACCACATTCACCTGGTGGAGCTGCTGGCTGTGTGCACGGAGGGCAAGAACGTCTACACTGAGATCAAGTGCAACTCGCTGCTCCCGCTGGATGACATCGTCCGCGTGGTCACCCATGAGGACTGCATCCCCGAGGTGAGCCAGCCGGGCAGGGGTGCCCTGTGTATCTGCCTCTTGTGTAGTGCACGGGACCAGAACATGTGGATGAGCCTGCAGTTCATACTGTTCAAAGAGCTTCCGTAGCTGGAACATTTTCCTAAGCTCAGGACCAAGGGGTTGTGAGTTTCTCTTTCTGCCCCTTTAAGCAAAGCAGGAGATAAGCTTCAGCCTCTGTGGTACTCATTCAGCCTGTGTGCCCCAAGTACACACCTCAGAAAAAAGCGAAGACTGTGTTGAGATGCGATCTTACTACAGAAATGATGAGTGACCCCTATAAGAAGTTTAGAATTATGGGCAATCACTAATACTATCAAATAATTTTATAATTCCTCCAACCCTAAAGAATGCATGTTCATTTTGATATTCCTTCCAGGCTTCCTTTGGCCCTATTTGCTTAGGTTAGTAATTAAAGAAATGCATTATACAGTGTATATTTTTCCTTACCTATTTAAATATACATATATAGTTTATATTTTATTGTTTTAAAATTTTTATTGTAAAAGTGACACTCAGCAGGGTTACAGTTACATAAGTCAGGTACTGAGTACATTTCTTTTTGAACAGTGTCCCTCATTTTCTTCAGTTTATATTTTAAACAGAAATTATATAATTTGTATGGCATGTATATACCAAATCTATATCACATTATGCTTTTAGACTTAGTGCAGTTAGTGCATTTTGAAAAGCTCAAGTGCTAAAGAAAGATCATAAAGGGCTAACTCATGAAAAATCTCCTAGTCTGCTTCCTCTCACAGAAATAATTGTTTCTATTTCATTGTTCTGCATATTGTGTGTGCTTATTATATGTACACATACACACACACATATGCCTGCGCGCATGTATCTAAGCACAGGACAGTTGCATCCACATTGGTATGTAGAGTATTTCCAGTAGCCCTAGGCCTAGCCAGCCACGAGTCTCTCTGTGCTGCTTTTGGGCATTCAATATAATCAGGATCTATAATACTGACTTGATTCTTCCACTTAGCATACTTTTTAAAATTTGTTTTAATATTTTTATTGTAAAGATACTATACAGAGGGGTTACAGTTACATGAGCAAGGCAATGAGCACATTCCCTAACCAGCATTGTTACCGGAAGGGATAGCAGAGGAAAAACACAAAAGCATACTTTTTTTTAAGGCTCATGCAAGTTTTAGCTTATCATGGAACTTCACTTATATTGCCAAGTATATATTGCCAAGTAACACGCCATGATATGGATGGACTACATTTTATTTATCCATCCAGCCTTGTGGACTTTTATTATTTATTTATTTATTTTGGGTCCGGTAGTGGGGCCTGAACTCTGGGCCTGGGCGCTGTCCCTCAGCTCTCTACCACTTGAGCCACAGTGCCACTTCCGGCTTTTTTCTTTTTGCTTATGTGGTGCTGAGGAATCGAACCCAGGGCCTCATGCGTGCAAGGCAAGCGCTCTACCACTGAGCCACCTTCCCAGCCCAGCCTTGTGGACTTTTATGGATACGTTTTGTTTGGCTACATGGGATCATGTAGTAGAATGGTTTTAATTTCTGGGTCCTGGAATACTAAATGATGCAGAGTCTTCTTCCATGTGTCTTTTGGATAGTTTGTATTCCTTTGAGAAGACACTCCTGGGGTGTCTTGTTTGTGAGGATTTGTAGAAGTTCTTCATTGGTTCAGTATTGCACGCATCTCTCAGCATTGCCATCTAACTTGTAATGGTACCATCTCCTGGGCAGAATTTTTGTTGCTGGTTACTGACATAAGGGATCGAATTCAGGGCCCTCAGTTCCTTGGCTGGTATTCCTCCACTTGAGCCACACCTCTACTCTGTCTTTTTGCTAGTTATTTGGAGATGGAGTCTCCTGGCCTTTTTTGCCCTGGCTAGCTTTGAACATCAGTCCTCCAGATCTCAGCCTCCTGAGTAGTTTAGGATTACAAACGTGACCTACTGGTGCTTGGCCCATAAACAGAAATTCTTAAATTTAGTGTCATCAAATGTATCCCTCTCCTATGGTCAGAATTTTTCATCATTCTTTACCTTAAAGTCACGAAAAACACTATCTTTCTAAAAACTTTATGGTTGTTTTTTTTCAAATTTGAGAATATCAGAAGATAACAGAAGTAAGAGCTAATGGGAAAAATGCAATATCCACTTTTGATCTGTGCTCTGTACTTTTAAGAGAATGCAGCTAATCCATTCCATATATCAAGTTAGCTTTTCACTAAAGCATGCTTCTGCCTTCCAGGTTAAAATTGCATACATTAACTTCCTAAATCACTGCTATGTGGATACGGAGGTGGAAATGAAGGAGATTTACACCAGCAATCACATGTGGAAATTATTTGAAAATTTCCTGGTGGACATCTGCAGGGTAAGGCTTTCTGAATGTAAAGAAACAGAGTTATAAAGTGTGTGGGGGTATCTGTATGTCTGTGTGTATGTATCATCTATGGACAAAGTGTAATGTGGATTTAGTGCAACTTGGTGGTAGAGTTGAGCATGCAGGTAAAGAGATCTTCAGAGATTAATTGCGAGATTCTTTCTGATTTCATATTTCAACAGAATATTCGTATTTTAAAAGAGTAACTTGTGGCTAAGTGCTGGTGGCTCACGCTACTCAGGAGGCTGAGATCTAAGGATCACAGCTCAAAGCCAGCCCGGGCAGGAAAGTCCATGAGACTTACGCCAATAAACCACCAGAAAACCAGAAGTGGCACTGTGGCTCAAGTAATAGAGTGCTAGCCTTGAGCTAAGGGACAGTGCCAGGCTCAGAGTTCAAGCCCCATGACTGATAAAAACAACAACAACAAAAAAACCACCTTGTGGAATCATGGTATTTTCTGCTTGACTGTGTACTTACAGGCAAAATACCTGCAAAAACTTATTTTCTGGGCTTTAGGCATGGCTCAAGTGATAGAGCACTTGCCTACAAATACAAAGCCCTGAATTTAATCCTCAGTCTAACCCCCACCAGAAAACATACCCCAAACTGCTTTCTAGTTGTAGATGCTATATAAAATAATACTCAGCTCAGATGTTGGTGCTACAGATGTATGTATATGTGTGTGTGTGTGCATGCGTGTGTGTGCAATCTTTTGACTCCATTTGTCTTAGACTTAAGGTTTGTAATTGGAGGCCTCCTTTGCTTCTTAAGATCAGTCTTAGCTAAAGTTCTCTGTACAGGACTTGTTAATACATATCCACATTACGAACCATCCATTTCTATCGTAACTACTCAGGTCTTTTCTTGTGGCTAAAAGGCAATCACAGCAATACCCAAACAAATGGGTATAAATCAAACATTATTCATAAAGGCAGCCACTAGCCCTTAGTTTATTGAGCCCTACATTTTATTGTTTAGAAATGCTATAAAGCCCTGTGAATATTTCCTGAAACTATTGAGTACTAAGTTTTAGAACATGATCATCTATTAATACAACTTTTTTCATCCCCCCTTTTTTTTAGTATAAGCAATTTTAAGTTTCAAATTATAGAATGAATAAGCTTAGTAATCATTATTTAAACCTACAAATGGCAACTCTTTAACAAAATTAAGTAGAGTACAGTTAAATCTAAGGTGTTAACTCACACAAAACATATGTAGTCATTTATTCCAAATTATCCCCTGCTGTTTTGAACAGTGTAATCTCAGTACAATTCTTACTGAATGAATGAAAGCCGGAGGCTGTCAGACATGCTGGAGTGCATGCACTTCACTCTCCTGATTACATGCATTAGGGCCCTGTGGAGCAGATAGACGGCTTGCTCAGGTGGGCAGTTCTACCTTTAAGGAACAAATTGAGACACCTGGGGTTACCATGCTTCTTACTGTTCTCCACAGCTTTGGACATGGAGAGGAATTTTCAGTCCATGGCTTTGTCAGTCTCTTCCCAATCTGGATGTGCTATGAATCAATACCATGATATCTAAGCTGATTTTACTTGTCTTTCACCACGACGTGGACTCTAATCTTGCTATGGCTAACTTCTTACAGGGAGAAAGACTGATGTGTAGGTTTTAGCTTTCATTATAAGGGTAGTCAGCAGGCAGGGCCATGGGCTTCTTAATATTTTCTACTGGGTTTAGGTGTAACGTTTAAAGCACTCAATTGTCTTCCAGGCCTGTAACAACACAAGCGACAGGAAACACGCGGACTCCATTTTGGAGAAGTATGTCACTGAAATCGTGATGAGTATCGTTACTACCTTCTTCAGCTCTCCCTTCTCCGACCAGAGTACCACTTTGCAGGTGAGAAGCACAGCAAGGGGCAGAGAGTTGGTGCCGGTCCTCAGCAGCTGAGGCTGACGCAGATGGGGTGTGCAGCTCTCTCGGGTGTGGGCCATTCAAGGAGCATTGGAAAGAGATGCTCTTCTCTTGGTGGAAGATAGCATTGACAGGGCTGCTCAGGACTGGTTCTAGGACATCTCCAGCCCTCAGATCCTGGAATTCATGGATATTGAAGTCCTTAACGTGGATAGGACATGCCACAGCAGACTTCAGATCGTGTCCAGATGACTTAGAACAAGTAACATGATATAAAAGTTGTTAAACTGTATTACTTAGGGAATAATGACATGGAGAATGTGTGTATGTTAAGTACTGACCCAGTTTTGGTTGAGTTTGAAGATAAAGAACTCGTGGATATGGAGAATCAGCTGTACTTACTGATAATATTGATTTTCTTTTAAAAATCTTTGGTGCATCAACCCTCTTCAGGATTTTCTACACTTCCCTCTAAATCACAGAAGATCTTAAATAGATTCTTACATACCCAACACTCTTAACAATGAAACACCTGATCTTATCTTTTTTTTTGGGGGGGGGGGAGTAGTACTGGGGCTTTGTACTCAGGACATCTCAGGACTTGCTTACTTGGCTGGCACTCAACCACTTGAGCCACACCTCCAGCCCTACTTTTTGCTCAGTCCACGGTTACCTCCTTTCTCTGTTCCTTGTACTTTGAGTTGTGCCTGGTTGCTAATTTGTTAATAAGCATCTCTGGTCTCATCTCTGAGACCAGAGATGAACATGGATAAGGTAAAATCTTAGCCAGAAAAATGAAGTGGTCAGCAGAAGAGACCAGAGAGGACATAAATGATTAAGGTCAGAGGTAAAGTAGGCCACAGGGTAGATCAGGAATTACCATATAGGCAGGGTAAAAGACCAGACAGCACCTCCGGACTTAAGAAAAGGGGACTTGGGCAGAATGTGGCAGGTAGATGTATTATCCAGCTTCATGTTAATATAACACAATACTTAAGGCAACTGATAAAAGATTTGTGTGAATCATAGTTTGGGAGAGTCTAAGGCATGGCACCTGCATTGGCTCAGCAGTGGTGATGGTGGCAGATGGTAGTGCATAGTGGGAGCATGCATAGAAACAAAACTGACTGAACTGGAGGCAGGAACTGGAGAGAGGAAGAACGAAGGAGGGAGGGAAAAGGGCAGGAAGGAAAAGATCCCTCAAGGCACACATCCCAATCACCTAACCACCTCCTGCAGAGGCCCACCTCTCAGATTTCACCACTTCAGTGTGAACCTGTGGGAGACACTGAGATTAAATAATATCCAGACCTTAGCAGCACCACATCCTTTTGCCCAAGGGGTCCAGTGAACTGATACGATCGAATTACCCATTGCATTTGGACAGGGAGGGCAAGTTACTCTTCTCCATTTATTTCTTTGGTATTGGCAGGCAGAGTGGATGCTCAGTAAATCCTAGTTCAATTGGACTATAACATAGGGGTATTTCTCTCTGTGAGTTAGGCTCTTAACTGCTTAGGCCTAGGCAAGCACTCTACCACTTGAGCCATGCTTCTAATCTTTTCCTGTAGTTATTTTTGTGGGTAGGGTCTTGAATTTTTGCCTAGGGCTGGCTTTGGACTGTGATCTTACTGTGTGCAGCCTCTCATGTTGCTGGGATCACAGGGTACACCTTCATGTCTCTGGCTTTGCTGATTGAGATGAAGGTCTCATTAACTTTCCCCAGGCTGACCTTGAAGTACAGTCCTTGATTTCTAGCTTTCAAGTAGCTGTGACTACAGACAAGAACCACCATACCCAGTTTATGATTCAGTTATCAGTAATCTCTAGTCTTTTTCCCTCCTCTTCTAATCTCTCTCTCTTTCTCTCTCTTGCAGACTCGCCAGCCTGTCTTTGTACAACTACTGCAGGGTGTGTTCAGAGTTTACCACTGCAACTGGCTAATGCCAAGCCAGAAAGCCTCTGTGGAGAGCTGCATCCGGGTGCTTTCTGATGTAGGTAAGATATCGGGTCAATTTGGATATAATTGATTAAGCAGTTGCTTTAGCTTGAAGGTTACACGGAGGGGACATTGGAAGGCCAGACCCAGAGCCGAGTTCCCGACTCCTCAGCCTCTTTGTCACCACAGTATGAACCAGCCAGTCTCAAAGTCACATGGTCCTTGAGAAACAAATTTTCTTGACTTAAAAGTTCCATAACTTGGCAAGTTACAGTACACATAGGGTACTTGAGACCCTGGGAAGTCCCTCACTCAGGACACTGGTTTGTTTAATCTAGCAGATCCATTTGCCTTATGGAAACTTGCCTTCCTGTAAAGCACCATTAAAGTCCAGGAAACCCCCTTTCTCAGAAGTGGCTCCTATCTTCCCTGTAATGACTCCTCTGTTCCTTCTTCCACGCCTTCCAGCTCTCGTTCATACAGGCTGCCTGAAAGGAGGCTGTGAAAATCACTTCTGCCTCCACTTTACCACACCTTTTGTTTTCCTTGTCTTTTGTGTGGCATGGGGATTGAACCCAGGGCCTTGGGAATGTAGGCAGGCACCCTATCATTGAGCTACAGGTCCATTTTCATTGGCATGAAAATTGGACGTAGTTCTGGAAGATCGTGTGATCAGTTGATATGTACACACAAAGTGTTCTGATGAAGGGAATGATTGGCATTCCCTTGTGGTAGGACTTGGGAAGCCCTGTGTTCTAGATAGCTGGAAAAATGAGAAATTGTCATAAACCATAGCCACCCTACACGGCTGTGGGGGAAGAGCACTAGAACTTAGTCCTCCTCTCTAACTTGACTCCAGTACCTGTTACCCACATGTTCTCTGATCCTCCTTCCCTCTGTCTACCCTACCAGCCTCTTGATCACTCTTCTACTCTCTGCTTTTAGGAGATCTGCCTAGGAACAACCTTCCTTCCTTCCTTCCTTCCTTCCTTCCTTCCTTCCTTCCTTCCTTCCTTCCTTCCTTCCTTCCTTCCTTCCTTCCTTCCTTCCTTCCTTCCCTCCCTCCCTCTGGGTCCCGGGCGCTGTCCCTCTCAGCTCTTTAGCTCAAGGCTAGCACTCTACCATTTGAACCACAGTGCCACTTCTGGCTTTTTTCTGCTTATGTGGTGCTGAGGAATCGAACCCAATGCCTCATGCATACGAGGCTAGCACTCAACCACTGAGTCACCTTCCCAGCCCAGGCTTTTTTTTTTTTTTAACCATACAGAGGAGTTACAATTACATGGGCAAGATAGTTGCCTAGTTGCCTCCTCCTTTGTTTCCCCTTCTATCCATTCTCATCTCCCCCCGACCCCCCATCTTTTTTTTTTTTTTTTTTTTGGTCAGTTGTGGGGCCTGAACTCTGGGCCTGGGCGCTGTCCCTTGGCTCTTCAGCTCAAGGCCAGCACTCTACCACTTGAGCCACGGTGCCGCTTTGGCCTTTTCTGCTTATATGGTGGTGAGGAATAGAACCTAGGGCCTCATGCATGCAAGGCAAGCATTCTACCACTGAGCCACCTTCCCAGCCAGGCTCCATTTCTTTACCCATTCCCCATCTTCTAGAAGTGCTGTACAAAAGGGCTAACTTCCTGCCCCAAGTGGAGAAGGGTCATCTGTGTCAAGTAGCTCCTTAGTTCCCTGCAGAGTAGCTGGAGGATGAAGGCATGTGTGGCTCTTAGCGCTGCTTAGTGGCTGTCTAGCTCACGTAGATTGTGTTAGCACAGACCTTAGCAGCCTGGTTGCAGAGTCTCTATACTGTCATGTGGTGGGTATTGTTTCCGATTCTGTATATGGCAGTGGTTCACAGTAAGAAATTAGAGCCTGGGCACTGTCCCAGAGCTTTTGTGCGCAAGACTAGCACTCTATCACTTGAACCACAGTGCCACTTCTGACATTTTGGTGGTTAATTGGAAATAAGAGTCTCAGAAACTTTCCTACCCAGATTGGCTTTGAACCATGAGCTGCGAGCTTTTTGAAAGTATGTCTACTACCATTTCATTATGTGAGCTCTCACACACAGAGACTTTAGGGGAAAATCTCAGAATAATCCATCTTCCACTTTCCCCAGATACGATTGTCTGAGATAGAGTGTGTTTTTTGAGGCCAAGTGGAATGCATGAGTCCTTGCGCCAGGCATTTAGCCCGTTAGAACTGGAGCAAGCCACTGATGAGTAGTTCACCACATTGGAGAGGTGAAATGATTCAGTAGTTTCAGTAGTGATGAGAAAAGACAGAATTGATACTTATGAAATGGCAAAAAGCAGCCACGCCATAAACTTCTAGAACTTGTGCCCCTTGAGAATGGCCCCCCACCTGACTAAAGCCACGCCTAAAGGCCATGTGTGCATTGTTTATTTGACATGGAGGTGCCCAGGCATGTGAGGAGTGGGTCCCGTGTAGCCTGCTTTCTCATTATTTCTGTCTGTCTTGTACATTGCTCACTTTCTACATTAAAAATGTTAGGAAATGATTGGCTGTCTGATTTTTTTTTCCCCCCTAAGTCATGTATTTTGTTGTTGTTGAGATTTAAATGTTGGCCTGTCCAGTGCATCTTGGAGGATGCTAGAGCTGTGTTTACAGTTAGATTCAGGGAATAGACATTTTTTTTATGCTTCTTGAGTTTCAAAGCAGGGAAGACAGGAAATGATTGCGTTGGGTTTTTTATGTGTTTTCCCACCATATAGAAACAAGAATCATTCATCTTAGCTTTCTTTTTCTTAAACCAGCTTTGGATTTGGAAATACGTTTAGATTTATTTTTTTTCTAATTGCAGAAATTACACGTGGAGTTCTGCACGTGTAGGTTCCCCCATTGCCAACATGTTGCACTAGAACTCAGTGCAACAGGACTAGCATCTTGTTAAGACTAGGAAACCAACATGGGCACACTGCTGTTAACTCAACCTCACACTCAACTGGATTTCACCGCTTTCCACGAACGCACTTTCTCTGTGCCAGGATCCAGCCCCAGGCACCCCATTGCTCCCCGGTGTCCTGTCTCCTCTGCGCTTCCTTGGCTGTTTCTCAGTCTCTCCTTGCTCCTTGTGACCTTGGCATATTGACAGGTGCTGGCCCTGTATATCCCAGCTGGTTCTCACGCGTGGTTTTCTCCATCTGGAATGACCGAGTGACTCTTTTTGAAGAGGGAGCACCTCTACAGAAAGAGTAGCAAATCATTGTAAATGCTGACCGGTGGGAAGTCTGTGCCTAACTCAGCGTTTCGTGGGTTATTTTACAGAATGACAAACTCAAGGTTTATTTTTTTGTTTTTGTTTTTGTTTTTTTGGGGGGGTCCGGTCGTGGGGCCTGAACTCTGGGCCTGGGCGCTGTCCCTCAGCTCTTCAGCTCAAGGCTAGCGCTCTGCCACTTGAGCCACAGCGCCACTTCTGGCTTTTTTCTTTTTGCTTATGTGGTGCTGAGGAATGGAACCCAGGGCCTCAGGCATGCAAGGCAAGCGTTCTACCACTGAGCCAACTTCCCAACCTTCGAGGGTTTTTAAGAGAAACAATTCACACTGTCTAAATGTGTTTCCTGTCTTGATAAATACATGCACACTTCAGGATGGCCGAGGAGGCATTCATCGAGATAACATATAAAGTTCTGTCTGATTTACCCAAGCTTTTCATTACCTAAGAGCATTTTAATGTGCTTTGGAGCCACTGCCCCAGAATTCACCTTGGGAAGCCCTACCTGTAAAAGATGGTAAAGTCGAGTCCAGTTCCCAGATCCATACAAGCTGACAGGTGACAGACGTGGAGAAATTGGCCTCATGGGTGATGGGGAGGGAAGACTGTCCCTAGGACATCTGCAGAGGTTACGGGCTCATGACACATCCGTCCCCTGTGCAGCCAAGAGCCGGGCCATTGCTATTCCTGTGGACCTGGACAGCCAAGTGAACAACCTGTTCCTGAAGTCCCACAACATTGTGCAGAAAACCGCCATGAACTGGAGGCTGTCAGCCCGCAACGCTGCCCGAAGAGACTCCGTTCTAGCAGCTTCCCGAGACTACCGGAATATCATCGAGAGATTGCAGGTAATGCCCACTGCTGACAAAAGTGGCATTGCCCCTGGGCACAGCCTAGCTTCCTCGAGTCAGGGAGCATTGAGCTTGGCTGCTGGGAGGTGTCAGTGGAGAATGAACAGCTGTGTTCATTCTCAGGGCCTGGAGCATAAGACCACTTCGGAGGATCTGAGTTGCTGACAAACGCATGGTCTTTCGGAGTTAGAGATGGATAGATTCCTTTGTCAAGAGCAGGTGCTCTTCCTCTTAGTAGGAAAGGTTATATACGTTTTACAGAGGATACTTAAAGCCAGATCCTAAGGTCTCCTTTCTCTACCACTCAGGAATAGTTTGCCTCTTACACCAGCAGATGAACAAGCGTGGTGTTCCCTTGGGGAAAAATTAATTTATTTCAGAACGAGCCAAACAGAACTAAGTATTATTCAAGTCTAGCTAGACTGTGCTCTCCCCCACCCCGCCATGTGAGGACTGACAGATCTGTTCTCCTTGTGAGTTCAAGCCAGAGCCTGGGTTCACAGTCCGGCTGTGCTGCTGAGATGTGGTATAGCGCTGGGAAAGTTCTCTGTGCCTCAGTTTCACTGCTGAGAAAACGGGATAGGAGCATCTCCTCCCCGGGGCTGTGGCATGTCGCTGGCATGTCTGGTGGTCTGTGTCTCAGGAAGCAGATGTCACTCTGTTCTTCCACTGTTCCACACCCAGTGAGGCCCGGCAGTGTGTCTCGCTCTGGTCTTCTTGAGGTGGTGTCTGGCTGTGGTCGGACTCCCCTTGACTGCTTGTCATATGTCTGATAGTTGCTGTCACCTGCGCCCTCAGCGGTTGCTGCACGGAGCGTCCCCGAGTGGCCTGGGCTTCCTCGCCGCAGTGCACCTGAGGCCCAGGATAAGCGTTTCTAGAGAAAGCCAAGTGAGGGCCGTGCCCTTTTATCAGCTAGCTGGCAGAAGTCACGAAGCATTGCTCTGCTGTGCTCTGTAGGCCAAGGCAGTTTCCAGGCTGCTCGGTTTCAAGAGAGGGGCTGCGTTCCATGGAAGGGACAGAGAACAGAGCGTGGGCTAGGACGCACCGAGGGGCCTCCGTGGGGAAATGCAGGGTTTGTAAAGTGCAGAGCCACTGCTCGCCGTGTGTGAGCGCTCCACCGAGGCTGCTGTCACAAGCACTCTGTCTGTTGTCAGCGGTGACGGCAGTAATTACTACTCTGAATGAAAGTGAAGTATCCAAATCCCGGAGCAGCCATAACTTACAGGCGAATGAGCTCGCCGATTCCTTCATCTGCCCCCATACCAGACAGGGAGTACACAATGGCGCCCGAACCCAGAAAAGATCTTCCCCTTCACAGAGGCTCGGGTTTGGGCCAAGAGGTAGACAGTAATCAGCCAGTGGCCTGGGGGAGTGTAAAGTGCAGAAGACAAAGGGCAGCAGAGAGGCGAGCCAGCCTACCCTGGATGGAGCACAGGTGAGCGCCTGGGAGACTGATGAGCAGCCAGCCCCGGCGAGGGCAGGGGCGAGGGCCTGCGAGACTACGAAAAAGCAACATTTCAACCAAGGTCAGAACACTAGGCCTCAAAGACCCAAAGGATGGGAAAACCATCTTTGTATACAACTGTGGCGTTCAAAAACAACAGGAGGCCAGACAGGAATACTGGGGTTCAGAGGGGCAAGTGAAGAATGATTTGCCTTTACCTTGATAAAACAAAATCTTCAGTGAGTGTCACTTAATCCCCAAATCCCCCCCCCCCCCCCCCCCGGGCTTTTGGTAAGGCTAGGAATAACTCAGGATTTCATGGACGCACAGCATTTGCTTGACTCCCCAGTCCACATCAATGGTCTGTAGTCAAAGACACCAATTTCTTGGGCTCCTGTTAGACTTAAGTTGCACGTTCTTAGGAGATGAAATACATACACAACGAGGTCATTCTTGTTCTAAAGACTTTGTCATGGCTCAAAGGACTTTACTCTCCAGTTATGCATTGTGTGAGTGCCTGTCGTTTTAAGAGCTCCTTGTAGGAAGACGTTGGTCATAATATCCAAACATTCACTCGATGTGATAGCTGATTTCCTGTTGAGACACGTGCTGCTCACTTAACATTAGCATCTTCCCCGTCCACGGCTTCGCCATCTTTGTTGTTCTTCCCGAGTGCTGACTGTCATACATTTGACAATACAATGCAAGTGAATTGCAATGTAACATTCAGACTTGGCAAAAGATGCAAGATTTCATGAAAAACATGAATGTTACGTTAAAGAACAACTTCTACCCCGTGCTGGTGCCCATCAGAGATTTGCCAGTTAGGATCAGTAGCTAGTAAAGAAAAAGGGGAGAAAGAACAGTTTTCTCAAAGAGGATGCTGTTCAGGAAACTGGTAAGACCTCAGAGAAATTTGCAAAAATGACCCTCTGTGAGTTAAGGAACATTAGTCTACTTTCTTAAATCTTGTTGGAACCTCCCCCCTCCCAGAAAAAAGAAATGATGTGATTCATTCATTCCTTATCTGCCCTAAACATTACTTGAGCTATTGAAATTATCCAAACTTTATTAAATATTAGGCAAAGCTATCTTCTTCATTTTAGCTTCTAGATAAAAGGTGCAGCAGTTCTTTCTAAACACTAGTGGGGTCTACAATCAAAATGGGTACAGTTTAAGTACATTTTCCAGGGTGAATCTCTTTGGCTAGCTAGGCCCTCCTGGACCACCAACACCGGTTCCCATCCCCACTCCCCCCACCCCACCGCCCCGCATGCTAGTTCAGCTCTGAGTCAGCAAGCCTGAAAGCAGGTTGTAGCATCTTTTGAAGATAATTTCTCATCTGTTTTCTATCATTTGCCTTTAAATGGTGTTTGTTGTGTTGGTTTTGCTGCTCTTTCAACTTCTCTCTGTTTTCCTTTCCTACAGCTATATGTTTTGCATTTGAAGACCATCATGCTATCAGGGTACATGTATTTAGCATGTTGATACAGCATGTTCATTCATTTGTGTTCTCATGTTTATATGACTTTATACTATAAAAAAATCATGCTCATTGAAAATAACTAGACAACACTGGCAAGTATGACTATATAGAAGAAGATTAGAGTCACCTGTAATCTACCACGCAGAGAAAACCAGTAGTGATGTTTTAATAGTATTTGGTATGTATCTTTTAGATAATAGATATTGTTTATAAATTATGAACAGCATCATAGACTCCATACTGTTGTCTGACCATTTTGAAGCTCACGGACATCTTTCCATGTTGTTAAATACATGTTTGCATCATATTTTTAAATCTGTGGGATGATCCCTTGAGTAGCATAAAACTGTGTCAGAGGACGGGGTGGGGAGCGCTGATTGGTTTGTGCTTTGTTTTCTGCATTAGGAGGCAATGCTTCTCATCATTTGACATAAACACTATACAGTACTAAAGGTACTCTTAACGCAGCCTAGTCTGTGCATCTGTTTTAGGGAGAAATCAGTCCCCTCTGAGCTCTTGACCAAGGCATGCTCCCATTCCAGGACATTGTCTCCGCGCTGGAGGACCGCCTAAGGCCCCTGGTCCAGGCCGAGTTATCCGTGCTGGTGGACGTCCTGCACAGACCCGAGCTGCTTTTCCCCGAGAACACAGATGCCAGAAGGAAATGTGAAAGTGGCGGCTTCATTTGCAAGTACGTGGCCTTCTCCCTCCAGGTGGCCAGCAGCCCGAACCTTGATGACCGGACACAAAGCCTTTGTTCTCGGAGGAGATAGTGAGAAATGCAGAGTTATGCCATGAGCCCTATGCTGACCTTCCCAGAGGAAGTCTGTCTGATGTTACTGACACTTTTTTGTTGTTGTTTTTTGAGTGTTTTTTGCCAGTCCTGGGGCTTGAACTCAGGGCCGGGGCACTGTCCCTGAGCTTCTTTTTGCTTAAGGCTAGAGCTCTGCCACTTGAGCCACAGCACCACTTCCAGCTTTTTCTGTAGTTTTTTTTTTTTTTTTTTTTGGGTCCGGTCGTGGGGCCTGAACTCTGGACCTGGGCGCTGTCCCTCAGCTCTTCAGCTCAAGGCTAGCGCTCTACCACCTGAGCCACAGCACCACTTCCGGCTTTTTTTTTTCTGCTTACGTGGTGCTGAGGCATTGAACCCAGGGCCTCATGCATGCAAGGCAAGCGCTTTACCACTGAGCCACCTTCCCAGCCCAGCTTTTTCTGTTTTTGTGGTACTGAGGAATCGAACCCAGGGCTTCATGCTTGCTAGGCAAGCACTCTCTCTTTTTTTTTTTTTTTTTTTTTTTTTTGGGTCCGGTAGTGGGGCCTGAACTCTGGGCCTGGGCGCCGTCCCTTAGCTCTTCAGCTCAAGGCTAGCGCTCTACCACTTGAGCCACAGCGCCACTTCCGGCTTTTTTTTTTTTTTGCTTATGTGGTGCTGGGGAATCGAACCCAGGGCCTCATGCATGCAAGGCAAGCGCTCAACCACTGAGCCATCTTCCCAGCCCTCTTTTTTTTTAATGAGAAATTTTTTTAAAAAATTATTGCATGCATATCCATCTATTTTATTTTCATTCAGTGGCTGTTGACAGAGCACCCACCATGTGCTGGGGTAGAGGACCCTCTAGCTCTCAAAACTCTGGACTAAATTTTTTTTTCCTCCTCTTTTTCTTCCTCCTGTATATTTCTTTTCTGGGCCTCTCTAAAGACAAGTCTGTGGAGAAGGGAATATTGTGCCCTGCTGAGGTTTTTCTTTTTAAATACAGCATTGGCATATTTTAGTAGCAATCCTCAGTAGATAAATAACCATACTTCATGAGTGGACTTCTGTCTGCTCTCTCTCTCTCTTCTGTATAATCTCAGCACTGTAAGCAGTGGTGGCGAACTCCTGCCCTGGAAGCCTGTGGGCTGTTCCTGACCAGCAGATGTCGCTGTTGAGACGCAGTTACCAACAGGCCCTTAGTACGCTGAATGCCCGGCTGTGTGTTTAACTTTGGAGCCCTTAATAAATATTTGTTCTTTAACGGACTAACGAGTTACAATAAGTTGCTTGTGAAGTGTTTTTAATTGAAAGAGTGTTTCGGGTTGTAATCTGTGGTTTTTCTCCCATTCAGATTAATAAAGCATACTAAGCAGCTGCTAGAGGAAAATGAAGAAAAACTTTGCATTAAAGTCTTACAGACCCTGAGAGAAATGATGACCAAAGACAGAGGCTACGGAGAAAAGGTACGGCCCTTCCTTTCAAGGGATCAGACCTTGCTAGGAAACTGCAAGGGAGGCGAGTTTGGAAACCTACCTTAGCTAAGCGTTAATGACAGGAGGTGAGCACTTCTTTCCCCTCCCCCCCCCCCAAAAAAAAAGCTGTCCCTAAAGGTGCTGGGTCTTATGACTGTCTCCTTGAAAGGCAAGTATACTTAGTCACCTCTTAAAGACTGCCCGCCACGTAATCTTAACGTCAGAGAAGTAGTGCCAAGATTTTTCCTATTTAAATTCCTGGTGAGACGTAAATGCCTCTGTGTGTTGAAGTCTGAATTCCTGAATTGGGGGTTCCTGCTACGCATTCCTGTGGGTTTGCTTGTTTCTGTTTGACGCGATGGTGCACAGTCCTCCCGGTGCTTAATGAAACTCCCTTCAGTAAGGAATAAAGAAGGCAAACATGCCACTCACCTCTGAAATGGCCGTCTCTGTGACCGGAGACTTCGGGGTATGTGCAGTGAGCAAGAGTGGGTGGGTAAGGGACTCAAGAACACTCTGGTGGGTGGGGAAAGGGCTCGAGCAGTCCCAGCGGCCTTCTCTCAGCCTTAGCCAAGCATCATGGGCACAGACCCCAATGGCGGCAGTTTGCACTTAAAAGTAATGACGTGTGTGAATCTGCTGTCCACGTTTAGCCAGTTTCTGATCTCACTGGCTTGCCAGAAGAGCCAGTAACTCATCCTCTGGTTCTGGGAAGAAGCCGTCCTGCTCAGCATGCGTGGTGCCAGCCAGGGGACCCCAGAGTAGAAATCTGCAGCAGTTCTGCTTTCCACCCTCTGTGACACCTCTTGCTGACATCAGAGCACGTTGACGCAGGAGGCTCCTGGGAGAGGGAAAGGAAGCAGAAGGATCCGATCCTTACCACACCACCATCCCCGGTCACTGGGCCTTTTAAACGTCACTTTAAAGGTTTAGTTCTGTAAATTAAATGATGAGTAAAGGTTGCCAACTCAGTAGGAACTTCATAGACTCAACGTTTATAAATGGGAACACTAGAAGCAGAGTTTTATGTAGGGGAGAAATGGCAGGGTGGCCTGAGCATGCGTACATGTACTAAGCACCTAGACAGGTCTTGCCCTGAAGAAAGGGACAAGGATAGGGCTCCAAGGTAAGGGGAAAGACGACACAAGATAGAACGGTTGATGGCAGGCAGATGGACGGAGAGCCTGTGAAAGAGTAAATTGGCAGGGTTTAAGAAAGATTCTTGCACCCAGAATCAGTGATTCACACTTTTAATACCAGCTACTGGGGAAGCAAAGATCAGAAGGATTGAGGTAAAATCTGGCCCCTGAGGAGGGTGTGTGTGTGTGTGTGTGTGTGTGTGTGTGTGTGTGTGTGTGTGTGTGTGTGTGTGTGTGTGTGTGTGTGTGTGTGTGTGTGTGTGTGTGTGTGTGTGTGTGTGTGTGTGTGTGTGTGTAGGGGTTAAAAAAGGTAATAAGATCCTGTATGAACAAATAAGCCAGATATGGTAGTATGGGCCTACAGTACCAACTAAAAAGACCATAGGGAGGAGGATCGTGGTTTGAGGCTGGCCCCCATGCTAAAAAGCAAGAGCCTTTCTGAAACTTCACTAATTCAGAAGAGATCTGGGGCTGCGACACAAGTGGTGGCAGACCTGCCCAGCAGCACAAGGCCCCGAGTTCAAACCCCAGTTACCACCAAGAAAACCAGTGCTGAAAATGAAGAAAGACGGAAATGAGTTCCGGGGCCTCAACTCTCCTTTCAGCTGGTGAAGAAATTCCTCACGCCCTCTCAGAGGCTGAGAAGAGAGCTGACCTTTCTTTCCCCTATTTGGGGCCCATCATCCTCCTTCATGGAATTGGAAATACTGCGGCAGGGCTGGGCCATGCCACGAAGCCCGGGGAAGACGTTCTAGAAACGCATGCTAAGCGGGCGGCTCCCGGTCCTGCAGCCCGGCCCTGCGTCCTGCGGCCCATGCTTGGACTCCTGGCGGTGCTCTTTCGCCCTCCACACTAACGGACTGTTCAGTGGGAGACAAGGGGGAGTCGTCCTCCTGCTCCCGTGCTGGCTTTGGGTATTAACTTTGTCCCACCAAGGCTTTCTGAAGGCAGTTTTGTAAGTTTACTGGATGTCCTAGTTGAGTTCAAGACGCTTGGCACACAAAGGGCAGTCCAGTTTTTTCAAGGGTGGAAGAAACTCTGTGCCAAAGAACCAACCTTTCTCAAGCCAGGCAGCTGGCTTCAGCTGGTAACTGAAATAAGGTAATCTTTGGCCTGGGTGCTGCAGACACTAGGCGAAGGTTCAGGCTGTTCCCCTCACCCCCTCCCTATTTCCTGCGGCTCCCCTCCTAGCCTCTTGTGTGCAAGCTGGGCTCCTCTGTGCCCTCCCCCTCCTGCGGCTGATCTGCTCAGCCATAAAATGAGATGTGGCTGAGGCCTCTGCCCCGCCTGGAGCAGGCCTCTCCCTTTGGATCGCAGGCTCCGAGCTGTGGAAGACTGCCGGGGAACCGTGCAAGATCCGAAGGGGTCGAGGCCGCCTCTCAGGGCCAGGGCCCCTGCCAGGGGCTTCCCACACCATCCAGGGGGCATGGGTCCTGAACTCTGGGCCTGGGCACTGTCCCTCAGCTCTTCAGCTCTACCACTTGAGCCACAGCACCACTTCTGGTTTTCTAGTTGTTTATTGGAGGTAAGAGTCTCATGGACTTTCTTGCCTAGGCTGGCTTTGAACTGCAATCCTCAGATCTCAGCCTCCTGAGTAGCTAGGATGACAGGCGTGAGCCCCCCGCACCCAGCTTTTTCTTGTCTTTTTTCCCCTAAGCCACCATCCCCACAAAAGATGGGACTTGGCTGCCTTTCCTCGCCTCCACTTTTTCATTCAACTGGAGCGCTTAGTCAAGGTCACAGCTGAACGAAGCTGAAATCATGCTTCATTCTGTGCAGAAAGGCTGCTGTGCTTGTGTGGGTCTGCCTGCCTGGGGGCATGGGAAGGACACCAAGAAATGTCACCCTGCTACCCACGACACAGCACAGCGAGACTGACGTACCCAGAAGGGCCTTGGGTTCCCCACTAGTTTCCCAGGGAGACCAGACCTCTGAACTGACAGCGACAATGCTGGCTGCCCCTTGTCTGCTGCCAAGCACTCCACTGAGGAGGACAACACCTCCTTCAGCCACCATTGCCATAACTACTTTTATACACAAAGAAGACGACGTGGGCTCAGAGAAGTTTGGAAAGTTGCATGGGTTAAACAGCTAAAAACAAGGGAGCCACAGACAACTCTCAGGCCTAGCATTGCACCAGGGTCAGAGTGAACAGGGCTGATTGCATGGAGTGTTTCATTATCCATCTACTTTCAAGAGTTAAGTTTGTGTTTTGTTACCCGGTTATGTAAATGTCAGGAGGCAGTGGTTAAACATCTAAAGCTTCTGCTCAGTTCTGATTTCTCACCCAACTCAACACAGTTTCCAGCCAGTGGCAGGTAAGTGGCCCTGGACCATTTGCAACCTATGGTTCTGGTCAGATCTCAACATGAGGAGTCAGACTCAGGGGTAGCACGTGGTCTGCTTGACCAGGAATTGCCCACAGACGAGGAGGGGGAAAGACGGATGGAAGAAGATCGTCACAAGAATTGAATCGTGATCATTGTCTCAGTCTGTTGTTGTTATCATGAAATGCCAGAGGCAGGATACTTTGTAAAGAACAAAGGTTTAATTAGCTCCCAGTTTGGGAGGCAGAAAGACCATGATTGGGTGGCCCCATTGATTTCCCTTCTAGTGAGGACGTAATGGTGGTGAGCACCGAGATGTGAATCCAGGGAGGGCTGCTCCTCTGAATAGGGCCAGGCTGCCCAGGGAACTGCCTGCTTGCACAGGAACCAGCTCAGCCTCCCCCAAGAGCTACTTGCATTCCTTCAAGGCCAGCACCCCCAGCACCAAAGGATCCCCCTGGATCTCACCACCTCCTGACATCACATCTCCTAAGCTCAACATGTGCACCTCACAAGACGCTCAGACCACACGCAAATCCTAGCAATACCTTAGAAGTCACTGAAGCTCTTGGAGTTCTGAAGTGCAACCAGCCAACAGTGCATACTCTTCTCATAGTAGGAAATAACGAAGCAAAGAAAAGTTTAAAATGACTGCCAAAGCAAAGGGAGATCCATTTCTGCATTTTGCTTGCTGCATCTCTATCCTATGTGTTCAGAAAGACTGAACATTAACATCACGTCAGGACTTTGTTAATACTCCTTCCGTGAATCATCCACTGAACTCAACCTAGAAATTCAAATTTGTCCATACTAAAGGGAAAAAAAAAATCACATGCCAAAACATGCCCAAGATTTCATCTGAATCTATCTATAGCTCAGAGAAGAGCTTCAAGCCCCTGGACTTCCCTTCCCTCTCCCCCACCCCCCTTTTTTTCCCACCAGTCCTAGGGCTTGAACTCATGGTCTGAGCACTGCCCCTGAACTTCTTTGTACAAGTCTAGTGCTCTACCACTTGATCCACACCTCCACTTCTGGCTTTTTCAGTGGTAAATTGGAGGTAAGAGTTGCGCAGACTTCCCGGACTGGCTTTGAGCTGCTCAGATCACAGCCTCCTGAGTAGCTAGGATTTATGGGTATGAGCCATCGGCACCCAGCACCTCCCCTACTTCCTTTTAAAAAAGGAGCATAGGCACTTTATGTACTGGCCACTCTAGCTTACTGTAGGCTTTTTATCAAGCTGCTGTTGGCATGAATTATTACTTGAAAGAGATTGGAAAGAAATTCAGAGGCCAGGAATTCGTGTGAAAGGATATCTCTGAATTCTTTAAAATTCTCTTTCTCCTGCTGAATAGTGGTAGCTGTATGGGTCCTCATTACCCCAGGTACCACTGGGGTTTCGTGCCATACAAACTGTCAGTCCTCTGGTAATTACCAAAGATGCTTTGTTCTAGGCAAGTAAAGTATTAGCCTTTCTAGCTACTAACATTTCTGACAGCCTCTTCAATTTGCAGAATGTACCGCACAC